CATGCGTTATTGCGTTTTTTGCCATGGCACTGTCAGTTTGTTTTCGACTTATGAGTTTGAATATCCTTTTGATATCGTTCGCCTCTTTTTTATCAATTCTACCAATTATATGCAGAAAAATGGAAAGGACAGTGGGTTAAGCCTAGCTTTGCGGGAAAATCGCAAAATTCTGGAGCAGTTATTAAAACAAGACCAATGAAGTCCAAGTCCATTATGTTTTAGTATGATTTAAATTAGACTTTTGTATTTCCTAGCACTTTTAATCGTGATAATATGCATATAGTCTGTCTCTACTAAAACAAACACAAAGAACATGTAAAATCCTAATGTTTATGAATGAAAAGAGTCGAGCGGTGAATGTATCAATGTTTGGTCAAAGGCTTTTAAAATTTGACGATCGTTTACAGGGTAAATTTGAAGTAAATTATCTTAATGTTTAATTTTCAAAGGGAAATTGATATGAAACATATGTGAACATTTTCAAATAGATTCTTCATCCTGACTTATCAAACCTTCAGGATCACACGAGTTTACCCCAAGGTTTTATTAAGGTTGTTCTGTGTTTATGTTGTAATGTTTTGTGAACTATTGTTTATTCACTTTTTCTTTTTGCTATGATGTTGTCTGTTCACAACTTCACCTTCCACTTATAATGTTTGACTTCTCTCTTGACATCGGCTTGTATAACTATGGAATAGGTTAGTTTTAATTGAATTTTTATCATTCCATAATCGTGAAACTTGCGAATATTACACAATTAGTCGCACCAAAACAACTACATTAACATAACCAGTTATATATCAATAATTCTGGCATAATTATCAGTTGTAGTAAAAAATATATCTGTAAAAACATTTTATCTTCATGAAATAATCTATCGGACATAATAATGGAACTAATATGTCAAAATATCAGGAAAAGGACACTGAATCACATAAAAGGAATAAGATGAAGTCGAAATCCAAAGGAAAAAAAAAAATGCTTCAGCAAAACCAAAGTCCGCAAGACATGTATATATAAAAAGGACCAACCTTTCTCTATCTACAGTTATGAATCGCCGTTCTATATCGGCGCAATCCTACATAGTAGGATGGCTAATGCGCTATATATAGATTATAACATAGCATTTTTCATATCAGACCCCTTATCAGCCCTAGGTCATGATATCAGCCCGAGAGCCGACAGGCTCGACGGATGATTTTGACCATGGGCTGATAAGGGGTCTGATATTAATAATGACATGTTATGTTCTTTTTATCATATACTTCATCAGACGACATACAGACAAGAACTTTTTTTAAAACTTTGAAAAATGCATTTATCGTATCATTTTTTTTGCATTTTTTAATAATATTTTTTCCTGTTTCCTAATATTTGTTTTCTTATCATACTTAGTTATGTTTTTCACTAAAAATGTACCATTGAGGTGTATTTTCCGGAATTTGCAAAATGACGTCAAAATGCTACAGGATAACGTTACAGAAAGGCATGCGATAATAACCGGAAGCAGTTGATATAAACCGGAAGCAGTTGATAACGAAAGTCATGAATAAATATATGAACAAATAAGTTTTATCAAGGGGTACAATTATACCATTATTTTCTATAAGTATATGATAAATACAAATATACACCCGCACCCATTAAAAACTCATACCAACACCAAATACTATTTCATTATGTCAGGGAAATGTTCAAATAAATGTGTGTAAAACAGTAGAAGAGTCCCTGTATAAAACTGCTAGTATTTCTTATTGATGCCGTTTGAATGATGTACATTTAGCTCCTTTATCCAAAAGCTTTTCCGAACCTGTCGCTGGGCAGCACTCCAGTGAATGGATTTTCGTGCGGTTAAGGTCATTAAGTTTGTGACCCGACTGTCTAAATTGCTGACTAACTCGGAGAAATAGCTTCTTAGAGATATCACTCCTATGGCCATTGAGACGTTTGTTGAAAGGCTGCTTTGACTCACCAACATATTGGAGGCCAGACTGCTAGTATTTCTTATTGATGCCGTTTGAATGATGTACACATTCTTACATACTACTGCATTTTGACAATTTGGGATGTATATATACGCAGGCACGTTTATAGAGTATTGAGTTTTGTTTTATGTGATGAGATTTGGGATTAAATCAATAGACCAAAACTTACCTGTATTACTGAGTTATTTTACAAAAACAATTAGTGTTGTAAAAATTATTGATACTGACTAATACTATTTGTTAAGCCGAAATATTTGTCAACACGATTTTATTACATCATCTTCGTATATTATCATCTTATACAAATCTTAAGACTTATATACATATATTATAGAACACATCCGCGACGCGGGTCCGTGACTGATTTAAAGCACAGGTCTACGCCTTATTTTAGCCTGGATTTTAAGTATCCGTATTGTCATCTGATAAAGTCATGCTGATTATAAGGTGCACAGTTTTCTCTTATTTCTTACTACAACCGGAAAGGATTTTTATTTTTCAATCTCACAGATGCTAGGCGACACAGTGAATTTCGCTATATTATTCCATTTTTTTAAATTATACAAAAGATATCGTTAAGCCTGTTCATCTGCGTCAACTTGTACGGACACATAACTTACATCCAAAGCCTGATGGTATACATATTGTCATGGGCAGATACAGCTCTACCGTTATTTTCTAATTATATTAAGGAAGTCTCTCGCCGATTGTTCCCCTAGGAATATGTTTCAACTAAGAGGACATTCCTTTTCCATGTATATGTAAGAGAATGATAATCCCTTTCTTCATGATTAAGTACGAGCGTTAGCGAGTACTTATCATGAAGTAAAGGATTATCATTCTCTTACAAACTTAGAATATTGTAAAGTGCTCAAGGCTCAAATGATCTCTTGATTGGTTGTATTCAAGAATTAGTTTCATTGTCAGTGCAATGTTTATAATTGATACATGACTTCCTTTTTCGGCATTTCATTTATGGATTAGTTTTAGTGATGTAAGGACTTTCTTTTCATTTGGGAAATATTTAAAAAAAAATCGTTATAGATAGTTCTGTGACACAACAGTACAAAGAAAAGGTAGGAATTGTATGTTTCCTGATTGTGAGTATGAATGTAAATCATGTAATATTTTAGTGAGGAATTATCCTTTTTATTATTTACAGTTTAAATCAATTAATACATTTGAGTTACAACTAAATTTTATTTACAGCCAATATTTTGGTCCGGCTTTTTACACCAAATACTATTTCATTATGTCAGGGAAATGTTCAAATAAATGCAGTTAAAAGATTTTAATATGTTCAAAACTTAAATAAAATTCCTGTTTTTTTTTTATTTTATTGGAATATTGAAAATGACTATTCTTCCCAACCGCTGATCCAGAAATCAAAATTTTTGAAAGCCAAATATTTAGGTTATTTTTTATTTTAAAGCTTTTTTTTTATTTTTTTGCATTGCTTTTTTTTTTTAGTAATTTGAGTTATTAATATTTTCATAATAACATTCACGGTACTAATTTTACTGCACCAGTAAACTTCAACTTATTTTGAGTTTTTTGTTTGTTTCACAATTCAACTTTTAGTCACTTTCAATCACTGTGTGATAAATCCTTTCAATCTGATAAATGTGCTTCGGGGCAGTTGTAACTCATTTATAGAAACTCTTTGTTTTGAACTGTAAATAGACCCACATAATAGGATAATCCCTTACTAAAAACATGATTTACATTCATTCTTCACAATTAAGAGGCATCAAATCCTACAATTTCATTGGTCGAGAGCACTTTGCTATATTCTAAATCAGTTCAGAATATAGCAAAGTGCTCTCGCCCAATGAAAGTGTAGAATTTGGTGTTCCTTTATTGTGAAGAATGAATGTAAATCATGTTCTTAGTAAGGGATTATCCTTTTGTTTAGGCCTATTTACAGTTCAATACAAAGAATTTCTATAAATGAGTTACAACTGCCTCAAGCACATTTATAAAGATTATAGATTGAAAGTTGAATTTTGAAACAAACAAAAATGATCAATATAAGTTTGAAGTTTACTTGTGCAGTACAATTGATATCGTTTGTATTTTTATGTGAATATTTAGAACTTTCAAATTACAAAAAATAAGCAATATCAAGAAGAAAAAGAAAAAAAAAACTTTTAAAATTAAATATAACCTAAATCTTTAGCTACATGTATTACGCTTATCAAAACTCAGATTACTGTTTTCGGCTATTCGCAGTTAGTAAGAATAGTCATTTCCAAAATACCGGTACATACAGGAAATTGAATTTACTTTTGAATTTCCTATAAATAGCAATTTCTTTCAACATTTAAATTTTAGTTAATTAAGTAGTATTTAATGTAAAGAGCTGGAATAAAATTGGCTGTGGAATACAATTTAGTTGCAACTCTGATTTTGAATGTATTAAATTGAACTGTAAATAAACAAAAAGATAATTCCTCACTAACATTTCACATAATTTACACTCATACTCACAATTAGGAAACTTATACAATTTCTACACTTTCATTGTAACGTTGTGTCATCTAATGTCTAAAACACTATTTAATAAAATTTCCCAAATCAAAAGTAAGTCCTTACATCACTAAGACCAATACAAAAATAAAATGCCTAAAAGGGAAAGTCATCCATTAATTATAAACATTGCACTGACAATGAAACAAATTCTTGAATAAAACCAATCAAGAGAACATTTGAGCCTTGAGCACTTTACAATATTCTAAGTTTGTAAGAGAATAATAATCCCTTTCATCATGATAAGTACTCGCTAACGCTCGTACTTACTCATGAAGAAAAGGATTATCATTCTCTTACATATACTTACCAAACGTTTAATGATAAAATTTAAGGTTGAATTTCAACGGGAAAAAGTTGTGAAATATGATTAAACAGTTGACCATAACAATAAAACATCCAATCAAATAATCTATCAAACTAATTACTAAGCAAATGAAAGTATTTTAAGTATAAAACTACTTAATTACAGAACAAACACACATGTGATGTATTTCTTTTATTGGAAATTAATATTATGAATATCTAGAAAAATCTCTTAACTTTTTCACTGAAACATGACATTGTTATCGATTAAAGTAAAAACACTCTAGCATGTTCTAGTTTCATTTAATCTCAAACAACTTGGCGTGGAGCTACAGTGAACGACTAACATACAGAACACGAGGAGAGAGGGAAAATAAACCAATGATCCAAATACCGACAAACAAAACAAAACAAAAAGTCATTTCAATAGTATATATATGCAGGGACTTTCTATACTAACTATTTATATTAGTATAAGACTGTCCCTGATATATATGACAGGCTTATATATTTAAACGAGGATTTAGGTAATTCTATGATAAATCAACCCTTTGCTTTTATTTTACCCTCTTCGTATGTTTTTTTTATAATAATTTTTTATATACCTCTACGAAACTTTAAAACTTGTTTTGTCAAATTTATTATTTTCAGGCATCATAATGTTTTAAGCAAACATTTGACTCCCCCAGCCCCTTAGAGTTACATGGGCGCCAACTAATTCAAAGACATTTTATACAGAAATAAGAAAATCTATCTTCACTTTAGAACTGAGATAATACAATGATTACAATACTATGCTATCAAGATATACAGAAAATACCCAGATAATATTCCAATAAATAATACAAAAGAAATGACGCAAAATATAATGTCAAGTGTTTTAGACAAGTCTTTTCCAGAAAAAGAACTACCAGAAAAAGAATTGGAATTTGTGTCTTTGTTTTCCTCCAAATTCAATTTGTCCTGGAAATTCTGTTTTCGCTTAAATCGCAATGTCAAACTTCTTAAACATGGATTTGCATGGCTGATATCCTCCATATAGTAATAATATGCACTAATTATTGTCAAAATTACAATAACACCACTAACCATCATGATACAAACCAGAACTAAAAGAATGATGCACAATGGGTCCGATTTTGCTGGGATAGAAGCCGCTACTATCGTGAGAAATATAGCGTAAGCCAGTAAAATTGTCATACCCAAAGAAATTCGTTCTCCTGATTCTACAGGGAGACAGAATATAAGTGGATTCATTAGACAAAACAATAATGTGGGTAGTATGACGGTTACTACATAATAAACGGGTTTACGTTTGATGGAAATCCCCACAACAAATGCCGAGGAGTCTCCTCCAATTAAAGAACCAGTCTGATATGTATCGATAACAGTCCAATCAGAATTCGCAGAAAAGTATTTTAGATCTGGAACTTTAGAATAAACATCGTATTCCACTTCTCCAGGAAAGATACCCCACATAGTGAAAATAAATAAACAAAATTGTGTATCGAAAGGAAATTTAGATACATCAGGCGTACACTGTGCCTCAAAAACTCCACCAGGGGTCCAGTAAACCATTCCATTTGTTACCAATATCACATAGAAGTCTGCCTCCTGTCCGATTGGTTTGACATCGTTCACACTATTAGCAAGGTACAGATACGGGAGCCAGATATCATGTGGCGGAATTGTTAATACATGTGTATTGTTATATAAGGTTGGATTCCACGCTAGCCTATGATCAGTCCAATTTACTGTTATACTCATTGTCATTGTAAGTTTCTCTTCCAGTTCAGTAAACGACACTATGGTTGATGGTGCAGCATTGATGCTAAGTTTAAGAGGCATTGGTACATTCCATGTTGGAACTAATTCCTTTGCATAATTTTGAAATAAATCCTTGTATATATTGTTCGAGCCTAAAGCTACACCAATTTCCAGAACGAAGATTACACCGCTACAAAGTAATGCAAACAGTTCCATGTTTGATATATTTTTGTAATCCTTATCCAATCTCGTGTATTAATAGTACACTACTACACAAACGTAAATAGATAGCCCGTTGACATAAAATAACACTTATCGTAAGTTACCACAATATGTACACAGTGAGTTTTTCTTTGTATTTGCTCCGCTTGACTGAATGTTTAAACTTCATTTATACTATAACAGCTTTAATAAGAGGTAGACTAATTCAGTTTTTTAAAAATCAAACTGTCAATTCAATTCAATAGATGTTTACAAATAGGCAGATTGGTTGTACTTTGATAGTATTTACAAGCTTCGTTCAGTTCAGTGTGTGTGGTAAATTGATTTTTTTTATTAATTGTAATGTGCTTAACGTCCAGTGACAAATATTACATTCATAATATAAGAACTTGCAACTCTTACCTATTTTGCGAAAGGGGGAGTGTCGTTGACAGGGTATCAAATAAAGTATTTTCCTGTATCAAAGATAGGTATATATAAAATCTTTCTCCAATTTTCTTAAATCTCTCCGGTGACCACTAGTAGTATTGCCATTTCACTCCGAAAAGTAAGGGTACTTTGGTCTAGGGACAAAACACCACATTTTATGCGTTTAATCCCCATTGGCGGATTACAGACTCCGGCTGTACTTCATTGATTTTTTATTCATCTGAAAGTGCGTATTTAAGAGTTTAACTGGGGAGGGGAGGTAAGGGATGTGGGCATCGAGAGAAAGGCCGGAAACTTTATATTTGTAGGCCGTAGCAAATTATGAAAATACAGAAATGTGATATGATTTCCAATGAGACAACTATCCGTTAGAGACCAAAAGACTAGGATTTATACAACTATAGGTCCTTCATACGACCTTCAACATTCGAGGAAGACAAATACCGATTAGTAAGCTATAAAAAGCAGCGGCATGCAAAAAATCCTTAAAGGTCTGATTTATGCTGAATAAGTACACGAAAAACAAATATGGCAGACGGCAACCAACGACAACACTGAAATACTGGCTTCCGACAATGGACAGGCACATAAAGAATAAGGAGGGGTTAAATGTGTTTTGAGCGCTCAACGATCCACATTGCCTGAGACAGTAGTATAACAGCACAACTTAAGAAAAAACTGCAAAAATCAGTTTGAAAGTGTTTGATTCATTAGCACGACACGAAGTACAAGAAACAACTGACACGAGACTTGTAGTACTCGTAGTTACTAAAAGCTAGCCCAAAGTCACTTTCAACCAAAAAATAAAGTTTTCCCACACACTGTTTATTGACTCTCGACAAAAAAAACCTTGTTAAAAAAAAAAAATCTGAATTGTTCAAATCTGCATGTTGATTATCGTCTGAATGCATTTGCCTCTTCTATAACATCAAGGAGCGGATAATTTCTGCAGGGAAAGGTTCAATCTAATTAAAATTAAATCTCCGCACTTGCTCCTCGTTGTTTATATGTCGCGCGCGGAAGTGCGGAGATTTAATTTTAATTAGATTGGGAAAGGTTAATCAATAATAACTTAATCAAATCAAATCTAAGAAAATTCTATAACAATGACGAGTCAACTTCTTAAATATGTATTAGGGATACAGAACAAGTATGGATCCAGGGATTTTTGAAAGGGGGCGTTATTGCTGAAAATGGAATATATGCTGCCTAGCGAAGCGAACATGTTTTGAACGATTTTATGCTAAAAATGATATATTTTCCAAGCAAAGCGGGGTCTCGGTGGCCGAGTGGTCTAAGTAGTCTAACCACTGTATCAATAGCCTGTCAACACTGAGGCAGGTGCGCTCCAATCTTAATCGACTCGATTAATGATTGCGAAGTACAAGAATCAGAGAAACAGAGTTAACAATTTAAAACAAAAATCGCTAAGGAAAGATTTGAAACTAATTTAGATAACATCATATTGAATAATGCTCCAAATTAAAAAAAAAAACTAGTAGAAAATAATGAAAATGTTAATAAAGTCGAGGAGAGTTCAAATAATATTCCTCCTCTGCAAAATATAATAAACGACGAGGATGTGACATAGTTTATGAGGATAGTGTTATAAATGCTTCTTTTTGTCTTCTTATTCATAAACAGTTAGGACAAAGCCTCCAAAATCAATCCAAACGATACAATTCCATGGGTTAATGAATGAACCACAAGCGGAATACATGCGCAACTCGTTTGCCCTAAAGGTTAATATTAGTCAATAATACACCAGTGATGTTTTTTTAAAGCTTATTTTGACGAAATTGATCCGAACTGACTTAATACCGAAATATAATTCCTTAATTCCGTTTTATAGTGTTTGAAACAAAAACAAAGTATATTTTTTTTTGTCGAATTTAAGTTAATGCCCCCTATTGACAACATATTTGTTGAATTTGAAGGTAGACTTTTTCAACAGATTGTCGGCATTCCTATGGGAACGAACTGTGCGCCACTCCTTGTCGACCTCTTCTTATTTTTATATGAGTCGGAGTTCCTTCAGACACTTGTCAAAAACAAGAAGATCAAAGAAGCCAGATCAATTAATTTCACATTAATATATTGATGATGTTCTTTCCATTAACAATCAAAACTTTTCTGATTGGGTTCCATTAACATATCCTCCAGAACTAGAAATTGAAGAAAAAACAGACACGGCCTCTTCCGCCTCATTTTTAGATTTACACGTCGAATTTGACATAAGCGGTCATCTAAGTACCAGAATCTATGACAAACGAGACGATTTTAATTTCGAAATTATAAACTTCCCTGAAATTAACAGCAATATACCAACTTGACTTGCATATTGGAAATACATTTCCCAACTCATTCGGTATTCAGGAGCGTGCCGCTGCTACTCGGACTTTATGAAAACGTCATCAGTGTCTGAGCAGACAGTTGATGAACCATGCAGGGTTATGTCAAAGAAAGTCTCGTCCTTTTTCTATAAAAGTTCATCGGAAGATATCAAGGCCTTGTTGATAAATATTCCGTATCAACATCACAAATAATACATGATGGTCTTAAAGTATAGATTATAGGTACTGAAGGTGTATATCTTCTTAATTACGTGTTATAGTGTTTTTATTGTCTTTGTATATTTTTAGCCTTTACTGTTTAGTCCATTTTTGGTAACATACTTTTGACGTGGCTCGGTATTTATACATCCCGCCGTTGTTATTTGATGACCACTAGTTTACGGCAACTAGTACCAGCTGCTAAATTTCGGTGTATATTACACGAACTTTCGGCATTATACGAATATGAATAACAAAATGTGCACTTGTGCAAGTGGCGCCACGTCTCCCACGTGAGAGTTATTTGATAAATATTTTATGTTCATTCGAGTTTACGAATTGGAATATAATTTTTCTTCACCTATTACTGTGCTTATTCAGTAGGTTTGGGGTATCACAATAGCAATCGCTCAAACAGTTTACCGAATTGCAGTTTAAATTCTTCTCCCACAAACCAAGGATCTGTATAGTAAGACTATACAAATCCTTGCACAAACTGATCAACTGGTAAATTATTTTACCGTTTTGAATTTTCCTTGGAGTTTGGTATTTTTGCTTTTTTACTTTTTGAGAGACTTTTACAAAATTGAGTACTGCACAGCAATTTAAAGCACACATAAATATGAAATGACAATTTTTCTTTTATGTTGATAATGTACACCATTTTATAGTATAGAAGTGAGGATTCATCAATTTTTATTAGAGCCGGCAAAATAGCACTGCATTTCTTTAGTGGGCAATTCTGCCATTTATTTCGGTCTACTCGTATGACTCTGATGATGAAAATGTGCACTGTGACCGTTTCAAGTTGACATGACCACAAATTCATGGTAAACTACCTTCATCCAAAGCTTTCAACTAGATCAAGGCAGCATATTGACTGAGCAGACCAGAACACAAAATATCCCCATCTATGTTTTCATTGACATTAGTCGTTATTTAACTTAATTCATCTGCACATGCATTTGCCTCACTATAGGTTGCACTTATGTAAATATAGACAATACAACTTCCCATAGGAACTCCTTATACGACTTAAACTGTAGCACTTTTACTATGAAGTTTCGTAAAAAAATATATCCTAAAATGGAAAGCTCATATGCAATATTTTTTTTCAAAGGTCAAAATATAGGGTTGTGCGGCATATTTTCAACATTTATATGCCCTGAACTTCTTAAGAGTTTAAACTTGTACTAAAATTCTGTACTACCCCTTCCTTCACTTTGGGGTCTTCCTCAGATTCCAATTTCGCCGCTATTCATGTGAAGCGTAGCTATACTGGTAACATTCCCAAGTTATTTCTCTACGAGATGAAACAGATGGCAACCAGTAGGTAAACAAAACAAAGTATATATGAATTTTATACATCTCCCCAAAAGAGGCGTGGTTTGTGAAACAGTTACATACCTGCCAACTTTCACGATTTAGGCGTGTACTACACGATTTTGACCCCTTGTCACGATTGCACGATCGTGAAAAAAGCTCTAAAACACGATTTTTGTGAAATTCTACACGAAAAGAATGATTTTTCCCGATTTTGAACTGTTCCAAAGGGAACATGCGACCTCGCCAAAAAAGGAGGGAGATATATCAAACTCAAATCTTAAAGCAAAAAGTCAATCCATACTAAAGGAGAACAATACAATAGAGCAATTAATATTGTAAGCAAGTACCAACATGCAGAAATAAAATTCATTGACTGCCCATTACTCTCAATATCCAACTGGAACAAGTACAAAGTTCACAAGAATCCAGAGACATTTAAAGTTGACGACTTCCTAGTTACTAAGCAAATACATGAATGAATTACAAAATCTATCAAATCAACAGTGAACTCAACAAAACATCAGTAAAAATCAGCAAGTACTTTGTTAGAGGACGAAGGAGAAGGAAAGGTCAAATACGGAAATCAGTAAACCTTTCAATTTACAAAAAAGGACGGTATACATCCGGGACGCTTGCTAAGTCCTAAGTCTAGCTATCACCAAAACCATTCTACTAGACACATACATTGAATGTTTCAACATAGATCAGAATTCTGAATTATTACAAATCAGAGTGGAACAAGAAGAACTGAACGCACTATTCTAATCAACACCTTCATCCGCTTTAGAGAACAGAGGTGCCAGTGAACAGACAAGACGAGTAGTAAAATTCTAGGTGAGTTTATCTTATCAGGTTTTACTACTTACCTTTTGTATTGGATCACTACCAAGCATCAACACTCAAACCCATGTTTTCTCTTCCAGAAGTCTCACAACAACAAAATGTTCTACTATCTTTATACTTACACTTATTATCTGGACAAGACAGGCTTTCATGGTACATCAGATAAATCTCACTCCTAGCCATAAATACCAACATACTCACCAGGACTCTATTTACTCACATAACACCATTGAAGGAGTAAATATATACTCAACGAAACGTGTAAGTAACCCGATTACAGCAACAGCTCAAACTTACTACTGGATAAAGGACAGTAAAAAACACATCCAATTGACTCAGTCGAAATGATCACCAGAGATAGTTCACAAAGACTCGTTCTACTCTTACTAAGTGGCATAGAAACAAACCCAGGTCCAAGATGACCAAGATTTCCATGCACAATTTGTCAAAAAGCATGCAAATTAGAATCTATAGCCTGTGACGACTGTGACAAATGGACTCACAGAAATTGCATTGGAATGTCTACAACAGAATTCAGCAATCTAGGCAAGAGCGAAGACACATGGACATGCCAATCATGCTCAAAACCCAACAACTCTTCGACAAAAGTATACTTTATACCAAGTGGAGATGACAGCAAACATGCCTCCCTTAACATATCTACCAATCCATTATTGCTAGACAGTATATCGGATTCATCCACACCATCAACATCAGGATCAAGTATCAACTGATCATCTTTCAATACAACATTTAGTACAGATATACCGATCATGACATCATCACCTAAACCAGCCAAAACGAAGCCAAACCCTAAGAAACAACTACGACTGCTGAACATCAACTTCCAGAGTCTAAGAAAAAAGGGTAAACCTATTCAGGCAATTATAGAGTCAACTGATCCAGACATAATAATAGGCGCTGAAACATGGCTAGATCCAAACATAAAATCAAGTGAAATTTTTCCTGATTACTTAGAATATGACATCAAACGAAGAGACCGTCCCAAAGACCCACATTGGGGAGTAATGATAGCAACCAAACAATCATTACAATTAGGGAGCATAACAAGAACAACAGAGATAGAACTATTAACTGGAACAATCACCTTAGAAGGAAAAAAGAAAATGCTTATTGGTGCATTTTATCGCCCTCCATATAAAACAGATGACATCTACCTAAATAAAGTTAAGGACGAAATAAGTACCATCAAAGCAAAACATCAAAAAAATCTTAATTGGAGGCAACTTCAACCTACCAGATATTAATTGGCAAGAACAGACCAACACATACTTTGCATAATTTTTTGGCCCCTAATTCCTAAAATTTTGAGGCAATTACCCCCAAAATCAATCCCAGCATTCCCTTTGTGATATGGAACCTTGTGGTACAATGTCAGAGAGATCTGTACACAAACACACAAGTTATGTCTGAGAGTTACAAAAATGCTTATTTTTGGCCCTTAATTCCTTAACTGTTGGTACCATAACCCCCAAAATCAATCCCAACCTTCCTTTTGTGGTATTGAACCTTATGGTAAAATTTCATAGAGATCCATTCACTTAAACTAAAGTAAGAGTGCGAAAACCAATGTGGCTTCGGACGACGACGCCATACCAATATACGACAGCAAAAAAAAATTTGCGGTCGAATAAAAATTAATGATGCAGACTATATGGATACTTTCCTTCATGTTTTGTGGGCAACATTTCAGGGTTTAATCCATTTTCACATTTTAATACAGCACACTTTTACATGTTCCTTTTTACAGGCTACACAGATCAAAATAGTGAATGGATTAAATTCAATCTGATCTTTAATTTCATTTTTTTCTTTAAATACAGAACATATTTACCAGGATTTGCAACATTTAATTAATTGAACACCACAAAATCACAACTATTACACTGTTTTTTTTTATTACTTAATGTCTACCAATGAAGTCAAACTAGTCAAGTAACTGAACTGGAACTTACTATTACAACCTGCCTGCTATGTTCTATAAGTCTGCTGGAATATTATTGTCATCCACTCACTAAACACTCCATACAAGCAACTTTTCCCCTAAGCAAACTCATATTCAAACTAACATTGTCAACCAGAACATATAATAGATATCCTATCATACAAGAAGGAATGTAGAACTATTGTACAAATAAATTAACTGTTAACACAGAGATATGTCTTGCCTTTATGAAACTTTGATAGTACAATGCAAATGGTGAAATTTTAAAAAGGCAATACTTTAACCCATAATTACACAAAACATTCAGTCAATGAACCATGACTGAAGGTGCAGGGTAAAATAATCTTGGTGTAAATGAGAAATGCCAATGCTAATACACTGGCATACCACGGACTCATCATAAATGTTCTCCCTAAAACTGACCTTATTACAAACTTTAACATGTAAACTATGCATAAGTTTCAAAGTCAATGAACCATGATGAAGGGGCATGGCCATATAATCTCCATGGAAATGAGACATATCAATGATAATACAACTGCATACCAAATATCTTTGACCTTCCACTAATGAATCGAACAAAATATAATGTCAGGTTTTTGTAATTATCTTGGTTACATAAAACGAATTTAAAGTACAGATCTTGTGTCCGTGCTACATCTACAATGCTGTTTTACTTTCAGTTTTAACAACCTTTATTTGTAAGCAGGCATTTCATTGGCTGGTGTAATAATTACCAGAACAGAGAGTAGAACATAGTGGGAAGCGTGGACAGAGGATCTGAATTTTAATTTTAATTCAAAAACGGACTATACATTTCCCAAATCTTATAATTTGCTGGATTTTTTCAATCAGAGTGATTAATTCCCAAGCTAATGCATAAAAACATTCCAGGAGTAGATATACGGTCCTTTTCAAATGAAGGAACAACTCAATGAAGCAATTTATGGATGGTAAATCACGTTTTCACAGGACCATCAATATAAACCATGTTCAAAGTCATAAAAAAAAAAACATGCATGTTCTGATTTTTGATACTTTTTTTAAAGAATCATTTTACATAAATATTATGACAAAACATGGCAACACAAAGAAACACAGGTATAGAAAGTCATCACATCGTCAGCTCCTGAAAAATAAAATGATAAAAATTATTTCTATCTGAATTAATGAAAACAATTAACAATGGTTATATACCAATAAAGACTCAATACTACTTGAATAAATCACCAAATTTGTCAAATTAGACTGCTTCAAGGAGTCATTAAACCACTTTCTGTCACTGAGGAAAAGCTACATCAAGGCAAAGTTTCAATTTACATAAATTTATTTGTATATTTTTATTTTTACTATTACGTCAGGAATATTCTTGTAGTACAGTACACAACAAGCGATTCAATAAAAAACCACTGTCTCCATGGTTACTAAAAAGACAGGTCTTTAGTCAAAGAGTGTTATCACCTCCACAATTTTTATAAATGATTCAATCGAGCAACAGTGCTATATTCCTGAATAACCTTGTGTGTACAGCACATAATGATTTGCTACAGTAAATGCACTGATCTTTGGTTTTGTAGACTATTATGTTTTGATAGACTGTCATATTGATTTGGAATTGTTTCTTCACATTGTATTTCAAATTTATGTACAAAGTTCAGTGAGTACTGAATGTCAATTGTCATAGAAACATCTTTCTTCAAGTTATTAACGCTTGCATCAGATTTGTACTGGCTATATAACAGCATCACTATCGTCATTTATCGATAGGTTGGGGAAAAGTATCATCATAGCAAGCATTGCAAAATATCTTAATGTTCTACAACCATGTCAATATACTTCAATGCATATATTGAAGAATTTTCTTCCTCAAATCATCTTTCATTCTAGTGAAATAATATAATAGTTAAAATAAAAGAATTTTTTCACTGACATTGTCCCCTATACATTGCTACATGTATACAAGACAAAAAGTTTTTTTTATAGAATACCGTCAAAATGAATTTTTTTTCCAATCAACAATTGGGTTTGACTCTTGAAATTCAATTTGAAAATTCACAACAAAAAACCAGAATTAAAATAAATATTTGAATTCAAACGACTTTTTAAAATTTTAACTTTTCTTAGAAAAGTATATTGGGCAGTTGTGAGATACTCATTTCATTTCCACTGAAACCAACTCTTAAAGAACTCAACTTACCATAATTGCATTCACAATATCATTATTATTATTTTTAAGTGCCTTCACAGCTTTTGTTCGAGATACATTGGCTTGGGACATCACAAGTTCAATGTCTTTAGCTTCTACTCCAGATTCATCCACCTGAAAATTAAACAGTTGAAAGGTGATCAAATATGGAAAGTGTGTTCCAGTAATAACTTGTACAAATGCTTTTTTGTAACATTTTAAGTCATAAATTACTTGGCTGAAAGCTTTATATACAATAAATTCCCCTGTTTTTGAATTTCTTTCGAAATCTTTTACTGGAAAAACAGCTTGCATCAGATTTTTACTGGCTATAAAACAGCATCACTATCGTCATTTATCGATAGGTTGGGGAAAAGTGTCATCATAGCAAGCTGATGGTGTTTAGAACACATCTCTTCAAGTTTGTGGAATAAAAACAAAAACCCAAAATAGAATATCAACGAAAAGAGTTCATTTATCCTTTTTTGTAAAACTTTCAAGTGGCTAATGAATTTGCAAATTGGTTTTATCCATGTCATCTACATGATAATACTGATATTGGCTATACTGGGTATTTGTGAAAATATCTAAAGATTTTCATCAAAATATTTATGAAACATTAGTCTGCCACTTGAGCATGTTCAGGTGTTACCAAAAAAAAATGTATCCTGTAAGACCAGACTTTAGAAACTATATACGGAAGATACGTGATATATGAGTTGATTTCAATGTTATCCAGTTATCTTGCTCTCCCTCAAAATTATTCAGTGACAAATTTCCTGAAAAGTGGTAGGAATTTAACAAGGCAGACAGAAGGTTTAATATAATTTTTGATGAAAAAAAAATTTCTCCATTATGTGTAGGTTGTTGGCAAAATTGAAAGCTTGCATCAGATTTGTACTGGCTAAAAAACAGCATCACTATCGTCATTTATCGATAGGTTGGGGAAAAGTATCATCATAGCAAGCTTACAACTGCCTAATTAACTCCTATTGTAGATCAAAAACTCTTTTTCAAGACAGGTATCAAAACTTGCATTTTTTTGTACATTAAGCTATATATAATTTTAATAATAAAGATTAAGTAAAATCAATGCCAATCAATGCAAATTAATTTTTGTTAAAACTATCTTTATCAATTACACTACATATTATTACAAAAGTATTCATATGTATGGTGTCCAACTAGCCCAAAAAGTGATTTTGAAGAAAAGCTAATATTATGTATTAAGTTGCATTTACTTTAGAAACTTCAAATCTACATGCAACTATCAAAATTTTGAAGTAACAGTATAACCTAGGTGGCATTGTCATCTATGTTTGTGCTGAAGTATTCATATGTATGGTGTCCAACTAGCCCAAAAAGTGATTTTGAAGAAAAGCTAATATTATGTATTAAGTTGCATTTACTTTAGAAACTTCAAATCTACATGCAACTATCAAAATTTTGAAGTAACAGTATAACCTAGGTGGCACTGTCATCTATGTTTGTGCTAAAGTAATTATTTCCATGAAAACATCAAATTTCAGTTGTGTTTGCATGTTATTGAAAACAATTTCATTAAAGAGGAAATATAGTTACAACTTAGACAAAGTGTATGGTCCAGTACAAATTTGTTCTTCAGTTAGCTGTTAGATCAGATAGAAAAACACTTTTTAATAAAATGCTATTGTAATTTTTTTTTTCTTTAAATTGAAGGGTATTATTCATGGAAAAGTCATAAGAACCAAGTTTTTAAACACACTTTTTTGTAAGGAAGTACAAATTGAACATGTTTACATCAGATTTGTACTGGCTATAAAACAGCATCACTATCGTCATTTATCGATAGGTTGGGGAAAATTATCATCATAGTAAACATGCAATCTTAATAAATAATCCAGCCACTAAAACATCCACTTTTATGATTGCAGTATGGCATCACCAATAGTAAATGAAAAGAGCGAAACACGATTTCTTTTATTATAATCCTGGTGAATGCAAGAAGCATTTTTCCTTACATGTATCAACCATCATTTCTGGATTAACCCTATTTTATATTTGTGTCAAACATATTCACTAAGAAGACTGAAGCTGTTTTACCCTGCTATTAGAAACTAGATCATATGCTATTAATGTTTATTCTGATACTTCAAACTTCCTATTAACTTTTACACAGCTTATCCCAACGGGAATGAAATAAATGACATTACTTGCATTTTTAACAAACTTTTTCCAATTTCTGTGTATTGTCCTAATAAGAATCCTCAATACTAAATGAATACCTTTTAATTACAGAAATTCTCTGCTCAAGTGAAATCAATATTAAACATGTTTACATCAGATTTTTACTGGCTATAAAACAGCATCACTATCGTCATTTATCGATAGGTCGGGGAAAATTATCATCATAGTAAACATGTAAATTAAAGTTAAAATCAAGATATTAATAAATTCACGGCTTCTGCATTGTCATGATTGTGGCCTTTCACAAAATATAATGAACAGGAAACAGGACTACCACACCCTCCTAATTTTCCTGGTGTTTGTTGGAATTTTTATTTCTGTGTATCAAATATGACCTTAATTTCACACCTTTATCAAAGTTTTTGATATTTTCATGAGATGACTTCGCTAACAAATTGTTTACCTAACCTCTTCAAACAAATTACCATTAATATTCATATTTGTATTTCAAACTTCCTTTAAATTCTTAACTTTCACCCATCTAGTCAAAAATGCCATGAAATAAATAACATAAATGGTGTTTTTAACAAATAAAGTTCAATTTCTTATTAGAATAAAAATCCTGGACACTTGGTGGATACCTTTAAGCCACAAAAAATTGAAACCCAATATTATTCATGTTTACATCAGATTTGTACTGGCTATATAACAGCATCACTATCGTCATTTATCGATAGGTCGGGGAAAAGTATCATCATAGCAAACATACATATTTACGGACATTTTCTTCAAACTAAGCTTTAATACATTTTTCTGGAATCTTGACAAATTTATAATTCTTCAAAAGCATGAAAAGGCTGACTGACCATGGATTTCATGAAAATCACAAGCAAATACTCAAAAATTTCTCTAAAAGAACAATTTCAAAGAAAAAAAACCTCATCCCTTCCATGAGCACCCATTACATCTTTTGAGTTTTTGTGTAACCTCATGAAGTTATTTTTACTCTAAGTTCTGTTCAAAATTTATGTCTGTTCTTTTAATGGTAGGATTTGCTTATTTTCATCAAACTTATCATATCTCTGCTTAGATTACACTAGTCAATTTCCAAAATGGGAGTTTTTTTGGGTTTCATTAAAAAAAATCATGTATTGTTCATGTTTACATCAGATTTGTACTGGCTATATAACAGCATCACTATCGTCATTTATCGATAGGTTGGGGAAAAGTATCATCATAGCAAACATGCATATTTACGGACATTTTCTTCAATCTAAGCTTTTATACTTTTTTCAGGAATCTAGCAAATTTATAAATCTTCAAAAAGATGACCAAGACTTTTATTTTATCATATCTCTACTTAAATTATGCTTGTCAATTTCAAAAATGGAGTTTTTATTCAGTTTCATTAAAAAAAAATCATGTATTGCCTCAAGAAACACTAAATCTTACAACATGAAACGTGACTTCATTAACACAATGTTCAAAAGTTAAAAAATATCTCCAAATACTAGTTGATTTGATTTATATATTACAGTTGCAATTGTCAAGTGAGAAAAAAATACTGAATTTGACAATTTTCTCCTTTCTTGAATGAATATATATTTTTCACAAGTTCTGTTGTGTATCTGAATCAACAAACAAAACTATCAACTTATTTATTCCATAATGCAAGCACAACTAATTGCTTTACATCTACTGAATCATGTTTACATCAGATTTGTACTGGCTATATAACAGCATCACTATCTTCATTTATCGATAGGTTGGGGAAAAGTATCATCATAGCAAACATGAATCTATTTATGGATCTTATTCAGCACTTATTAATGAGACATTTTATTTCAAAATTATTGAATCAGTTTAAACAGATATGCTACTATGAATGTTTTTCAATCATTACTAAGATACCAGGATTACAGCAGTTGAAAGATTTACTTTTGGAACGTAAACATGGTATAATGGCAAATTTCTGTAGGCATGTGTTTACATTATGATGACTGGGAAAAAATGTTGTATGTTGTGTTATTTGTTTTCAACTTACATGCCATTTTTTAATACACTTTTATTGTTTAACTCTTTGTCATGTCTCAGTCCGTCATTTTGCTTGAAGCATGCAGTAAAATTCAATTCTTAAAAACCTACCATTTCATTTCATGCTCTTCCAAAAATAGAGCTCTTGTAGGACCTTTCATAATCTACAAACCCCAGAAAACATATGTTTATACTGGATGCTTAAACTATCCCTTAAAACTATTCTAATAGTCTTTCAATTTTTTTGTATGAAATACTGGTATTTATTAGGCTTATATTTTTTTTACCTCGCCCTCTTCCTCTGATTCTTCTTGGATGGGTTGTTGAACAGGGTTGGCGATATCTTCTCCAAGACCAGCAGGGTTGGTTGGTGTCTTGAACTTTTCAGCTGCTGCCATCTGTGCTTGCTGACTCAAATCTTCAATCTGCACAAATATGCAATAAGGAAAACTAGATACTTTAATATGGTTTATGAACACAAAGGTTTAAATGATAAATTTTATTAGAACTACATGTACATAATACGAGAACAAATAAATGTCTATATGCACATCGGTGTGAGTCCAAGATAGTTCTGGACAAGCTACAAAATGTCTATCAATTAATAGAGTCATAAGATTGTCTGGTGATCGTATACTAGAGGTTCTGTAATACAGACACATGGTGAGGTACTAATGTTCTAAATCATAAGTTTATTGAAAGTCAATTAATGTTCTGGATACTAAGGTATCCATCATCATTATGTTTCTGGTTTCTTAATATTAATCAAGGACAATTGGTTTGTGTATCATCAAGGCTAGGTAAATGGTCATCTGGCATCTTGGTTTTGTCTGATAGCAGGGTTATAACATTTATATATTATTAAGTGCAACATAGGTATATATGCAACTATGTTACAATTACTATCTACCTTTTTATCAAAAAAAGAAATTTGAGTAAAGACACGATATATAACAATTGTTTTAATTAAGCACACTATATATATATTGGGTTTAGATATGATGTTTTAAAGAAGTTTTTTAGGGTCCAAAATCACTGAGCATCTTAAATCTGAACAATTGGACAAGTTTAAATGGAAAAGAATGTCAATGATGAATTGGACAGAGCTGTTCAATACTTCTACTAGGTTTTGGGATTTTCATATATTTTTTGGCTTAGAGGATCACTAAAGAGACCTTTGATAGACAATTAGCATCTGATGCAGTAATATTGGTACCCTTAATATTCTAATATATGATTATCATAAGAAAAGGCTTTTAAGATTATTAGACCAAAGTGACAAATTCTCAGAGAAGAATGAATGTTTCACTAGTGGATCCAATACCCACACGAATTATTTGGAAATTGAAAGTGTATTAAGACACTGTTTAAACGTACCTTTGCTTCACCAAATACAATATAGGTGTCAGATGCTGGACATTTATATACATCTGGCCTGTTAATTACAAATAAAATATTTTTGGACTTCCTGATTGTAACTCGTGTTACTCCGGTTACCTGTTTTAAACCTGGAAAATAGAATTTATAGGAATATCAACAAGTGAAAACAATAAAAGTGTCTCTAGTATCTCACTCTGAAAAATCATTAAACCTTTTGAGTACTTCTCTTCCAATTATTGTGCTTGGTTATTCACATGGTTGTGTGTCAGCTGTTCGTGTGGCCTGTTTAACTACATCCATTTTTTTTATATTCCTATCGTGCTTTTTATTATATTCTGTATTTTTATTTGCTGGCAAATATTAGAAAAGCATATCACTGGAGGAGGTTGGAATGTTTTGTTCGGTAATCAAAGCCATATAATTATATTATTAAATATGTTCATCTACTTTCATGAAATCTTTTTTTTTAATGAATTCACAAATATAGTGTTTATTTCTGATAAAATTTTTACTCATAACTTCAAGTATAATCTAATTCAACAATTACTTTATTTAAGCTTTTACCACGCTAGTATGCATATATGTATTGAAAATGTGTGCATTAAGTGTAAGGTTTGCATGATATCTGTAATCATTCATGTACATGTATGTGATTTGATTTTGATTTTTGGTGTTTCAACGCCACTTTTAAGCACCGCTTTTGGGCTATTTCGTGGCGGCCAGTTTTTATTGGTGGAGGAAGCCGGAGTGCCCGGAGAAAACCACCGACCTTCGATAGGAAAAGTGACAATCCTAGTCAATTAAGAATGGAGTCGAGTGCACCTGCATGAATGGGGTTCAAACTCACAACCTCAGTGTTGACTGGCTAGTGATTACAGTAGTAACTACTTAGACCACTCGGCCACTGAGGCCCCTTGTACATGTGTCACATACTGATAGTACAGCAAATATGAATGTATTTTATATTCAAAATGTGTTTTATTGTACAGGTGGTGCATTACATACCCAGTTTTGACATTGCCTTTCTTGCTTTCTTTTCACTTCTACTCTGTTTAGCTCTACTGACAAGCTCTTCTTGAATACCTGCAGCCTGTGCTACCTGTTGAAACAAAATTGATAACATGAAATTTCTGTGTAAATCTAAAGGGCCACAGGAATGTTCCAGCCTGGAAATAGGCTGGGGTGATAGTAGGTGGCTTGTTGTACGGGTAAATTGGTTACCCTAACCTACAGTACGCACAGAGAGTTTGTAATCGCGAACTCTAATCACGGATTTCGGAGTGTAGCGGTGTCACACCGCGAATCACGGATTATACTCCCAATTTCCTCCAAAGATTCTCTCCCAACACCGCGTGGCTGTTAATTGGTTTATTGCCCATCGGATGTACTGAAAATTAATGAGGCGTGACAACATAATCGGATTAGCCAGATTTATTACCTTTGTACATTTAATCGATCTTGATTGCACCTGTGTGCTTTAAAACACGGTATTAAAATTTCCTTTCTTTGACAGATAAAAATGTGACATTTTCATTCAAAATAAGATAATTATTCTTGTATGTATTTGCTCCATGTCATTGTCATTTGAAATAAAACGTACAAACGTATAAAAATACGAATAAAACACTTATTTTGTATTTTTATTATAGTCCGGTCAGGTCATAATTTTTGTTTTTTCTACAAAGACGATTTTACTACAATTAGAATCTTTTATGACCTACTCAGTGAGCAATATCCGGTTCATTATAATTGTTCAATATATAAATATCAACTGGCTTAAAACAAAATGATGTTTTTACGGTAATTTGTCCAATATAAACCCAAGAGTTAATTTATCGGATCAATAAGTGAACTCTGTTACTTTCAATTTATTTTGCAATGTAAAATATTATGTTTCACTACCTCGCTAGATTACCGACTTGAAATATTTGAACTCAGAAAAGAAACTGTAAAGTGACAACTCTGTTGAACGAAGGGAAAACGTTTTGTATGCAATGTGCCCTATATTCATAAAAACACAACACTGAGAGACATTCCCCGCCCAGACACAACACAATAATCACAACCTAATTTAATTATATGAAGAAGAAAAAATCATGTGTTGTTTATCTCTGTTATGATCTGTTATTGATCCTTTATTATTTAAAATAAAATTGGATGGGCGCAATCCGTATTTTACTGCTCGTTAAAAGTCCTTGGCGAAATAAAAAAAAGAAGTATTTCAACAATTAATACTATAGAATATTTAAATGAAATTATATCGTGTTCTACAAGAAAGAAATATGTGAAAAAAATGTGGATCGGATTTTTACGATCTACACATTTTCACAGAGGATCTCTACCAACGCCCAACAGGAACTAAACGACATGCATCCTGTTTTCATCTACCATTTATGTATATTGTTGACCATGGACGTATAAATAATGTCCAGGTTTATGTCCTGTGTTGACTGAGAAACGTAAAATTAAAAGGCTGGTGTTCGTTTATTCAGAAAAGGATTATATTTTAGATTCCGGTTAATCAATTGTAAAAGGACCTTCTAGAGCCTCAATCTTAAGGCATACAAATGTCAATCATTCCAAAGCAAATTTAAACCCCAAATGAAATTTCCCACGGTCATCCAGAAAGGTCACCTGAGTTTACTGTTACGTGATATTTCCCGCCAAATAAAAATCTCGTGGACAAAATTGATGTCACTATTTTTAGCATTCAATATTGTGAGCGAAGTCAAGTTCAAAGTTCAACCACGGACTGTTGATCACTGAGATGTGTATCGTCTTCCCACGGCAATTAATTTCTTTTAAAAAATTTAAAAATCACTGCCCTTTATACAACACACAAGTTTACATTCATTGTGCGTAAATGAATATTATGCAACGACGAGTTGATGCAGCTATAGAAGTATTCCTGTTGTAGCCGAAATGTAATTATTTATCAGGAAGTAATGCCAACAAATCGTAAAGAGAAAATGCCGTAGACTTATTAAGCATAACGAATGGTGAATAGTATTTTCTTTTTTACTTGCATATACAAATTTTGAGACACGTAATTTTCTTCAAACTGCTCATTTTTATATTCAGCGTTAGTTTCCGTTTATTTTTACGCAAGTATGTCTCTTTTCGTAAATAAAATAATTTACCGATGAACTTAAACAAGGTCAAAATCAAGTATAGTTTTTGTTATAAAACTTTAATGCAATTGAAAGAATTAACAACAACATTCTGCTTTTAAATCTTTAATTTGTTTCAAGCAATTATGTAATCGTAAAATGAAAATGGCGTGGACTTATTAGCATAACGAATAGTGAATAATATTTTCTTTTTTACTGGTATACGAAACTTTGAGACATGTAATTTTCCTTTAAACTGCCCACATTTATTCAGCGTAAGTCTCTGTTTATTTTTACACAAGTATATCTCTTTTGTAAATTAAATATTAATTTACTGACCAGAAAAAAAAAACGAGGTAAAAATCAAATATAATTTTTTTTTAGTAAAACTATTTTTAAATGTACAGTGTAATTGAAAGAATTAACAACAACGTTTTGCTTTTAAATCTTTTATTTTTCAAGCAATCAGAAATATAACCTGATTATCAATAGACAGGAAATACAATTGTTTAATTACATAAGTAATCTCACATACCTTGACTGTCGCGTGCCGGTATAGATCAGAAGGATTAGGGCAATTAATTACCTGGTGTGACACCGCGTCACACCGGACTGGGAGAGATGTCGCTAATACAATAAACAAAAGGTAGCGAATTTACGCGGAAGTCGGAGGGAATACTCCCAAATTTCTCCGAGAATTTAGGGAGGGATGTCGGAGTTTCCTGGTGTCACACCAAGAAAAAACTTGGTGTTCGGAGTTTGGGAAGCCTTTCGCGAAATTTGTACTGTATATGCCATTGACAATAAAGTTGATTTATATTACGTTTGCATCAGATTTGTACTGGCTATATAACAGCTTCACTATCGTCATTTGTCGATAGGTTGGGGAAAATTATCATCATAGCAAACATTTTCCTATTTATCAACAAAATTTGCAATTTTTGACACTATGTCATGTTTACATGCCAATACTTCCTTCACAATAGTATTAGTTAAAATAATCTTCCCCATTCTCCCAATTAATGTTTTGCATGTTTGGTCTCATCTTGCTTGTTTATTTAAATAAAGTTCTCTATGAGATATTATTTCTTGTAACATTATTCTGCCATAAGAAACATTCATTACACAATATGAAAAAAAATATTTCATTTACACAACAATTCAAGGTTCAAAGTCCATTCGATTTATTTGTATTAGTGGTGTTAACTAAAACATCCTTAAACCATCAACACCATATAGTCAAAAACTTAAAAAAGAACAGAAACTCTTTTCTCAAGTAAAACCAATAAACATGTTTACATCAGATTTGTACTGGCTATTAAACAGCATCACTATCGTCATTTATCGATAGGTTGGGGAAAAGTGTCATCATAGTAAACATGCATATTTATGGACATTTTCTTCAAAATTAAGCTTTAATATATGAATTGGAAAACTCTTTCTTCAAAAAACAGACAATGTGATTTCATGAATAACCAAAATTGTCTTCTTAAAAAATTCACATGAGAAAAATATCAGACAACAAAAAACACATTCCATGAATCTGATACAAATTACTCTATGATTTTATTTTCAATGTTTACATAACAAAACATAAAACAGTATTACATTTATTTTACACTATGTCAGACTTCACTCTTAAAGAAAAGAAACCTTTAAATTATTCATTTCAAAATGCAGGTAATGCTAAGATTGTTGTATTGTTACTGAATCATGTTGCATCAGATTTGTACTGGCTATATAACAGCATCACTATCGTCATTTATCGATAGGTTGGGGAAAATTATCATCATTGCAAACAGGATTCTATTCAATCATTGGCTAGCACCCTCGTTTTTTTTTAAACATTAGTCTGTTAAAATCGTCTCCTCCATACTCCAAAAACAAATAACTTTACAATCTGAGTTTTGTTTTTCAACTCTCAAATTATTAAGATTCATCAGAAGCTAGACATTAAAACTTTTTGCAACTGCATAAGTTTGTCTGTACCACGGAGTAATTTTTTTAGTGTAAACAGCCATTTTGTCAATTTATTATAATGAACCTTAATTCTCCCACTATTACCTACCGTACCTGACTTGTCTGAGCAGAGACATCTCCTTCTTCCAGATCTGGTATTCCAGTGGAGTCATCACTTTCAGATTCGCTCCCTGATCCAGATCCATCTTCAACCTTTGTCTCTTCGACAGGTTTCTCTACTGCTTCTGTTGGCATTTTACTGTAAATGATATCAAACAATTGGTTATTAAATCACTTAAAAAAAAAAGCAGGTGTAACCTGTGAGAGAGGATAAACTCCGTATAAATTATTACTTGTATTCCCAGCATATTTTTTAAATAATTTTTCTGTTGGAAAAAAAGAAAAAAATATATGGAAACGTTTCTGTATTGGTCCTGTTGTTACAAGATTTTAAATTTAGTTTATAAGACATCATTTTCATTGTAAACAAAGAAACGCTATCATCAGGTAATGTTTTTTTCATATTAAGAATTATTTGAATAAAAATGTAATCATTTATCATGTTTATACTGTTAAACAATGAAGATACAGAGTAGGCTTGTTATTCCTATCAGGTACTGATATCTGCCCAATTGATCCAGCGAGTTCCCGAGGGAACACATTTTGTTTGCTATAAAACATGTTTAATGAGCACTCGACTCATTTTAAATTGAAAAGAAATTTATATTAGTTGTTTGACTGCCAATAATCTTATGGTATCCAAATACATATTTCCTGGAAATCATATGATGTTCTTCCTATATTGTGCAGCCTCCAAAACAAACAATATATCCAGCAATGGTGGTAAGTCGTGCACTTAAAGCCATTTTTTATTTTATTTTTCTGTAGACTTAGCTTTTTTTTTTATTACTGTGTATTGTCAAGCTTGGTTACTCATAATTGTTTCTCAGTCACTGAATGCACATTGTTGTTCCATACTGCAGCAGCTGACCCTGTTTGTTTACATTCAAATTCTAATGGCTTCAAAACCACGTGACACATTGAATCGTTATATCCAATCAAATTGTTCTACTGTCAATTAGGTGATTTTTTAGTACAAGGCAATTATATTATTTGTATGATATTGTATGATATTGCTTTGAAATAGTTTGCAATAAATTTGGGGTTTATTCAATAGGAAACCTCATTATTAGCCATGAAATTTGACATCACTGGAATTTTATATGAATATTTACTTATGGTCAGAATATCGATCTCTTTATATTGAACCAAATTTTTTTTTTTGAAAAATATATGTATATTGTTTTTTATTAACCTACTCTATATTCCTGAACATAAATATGGCATGATTATCGTTTGTTTCCCAAAGTTTTTCTTTCAATTTGGATGGTTTTTTTTCGCAAGGTGCTTGCCATTTTGAAATTCTTAAAAATACGATTTGCTTGGCCTGTTTGGTCTGCCATTAAGATTGATGACGCTTATATTAATAAAATGTAAACAAAGCAATGGAGGCTGGAAGAGGGATTTTCTGAAGTTCTGGAATGTTTTTAGGCATTCTGAAGTCAGGTTTGAAACGGCCATTAGAAAATTGGCATTTCTGTACAATACTTTAGAATAACAATGAAAACATATCTTTAGAAATGTTTGTTTATTTAGACGAGTAGAAATAATGTATTCTGCACTAATTTTGTACGCTGGTATTAGTGTAGTGACACCAATGCGGAGTTTTCCCGTGTGATAAGTACAATAACAAAGTCCAATCGAACCCACATGATGACCGATTATAGACTAGGGTAGGATACAGGAAGAAAGAAAAAATACCTGAAATGTTTTCTGCACAAATGCAAGCTGAAGAAAAAGTTTCGCAGATTGATCTACTGTTATTGAGGACTTACTCCTCATAATAACCCTAGCTCTTGTGCTATATGGGACATTTTTTTGTTTATTGGTTGACCATTCATATGATATAAATTTGTGTGGCTACATGTAGATTACTCATGACATCATGTGTAAAATCATTCAGAATTGCAACCCATGTTCAGGTCGCCCCAATTAACAGACCCGAATTTCGAGACAATATAAATAGAACGTACCGAAAATTCGGATCTGTATAATGTCATGGAGTTCGGTTTGTATATTTAATGCAGCTCTCCAAAATGAACTTCTGAAGAATATATTTCATTCAAAATGTGGGTAGTCATGCCGGTCGGCGATATTTGATCATTCCTCCCAAGAGTTTTAAATAGCAAAATAATAACTTAGTCAGATTCTGACCTTATTGGTCGATATAAATATTAAGTTTGAAATGAGATGCGATGCTGCACTGAAACTTTCGCACTTTTAAATCCTTATTTTCTACTCATCATACTTCAATTGCAAGAAATGTACGCTTGATCATAATTATCGAAATGTTAAGTAATCATCTTAATGTCTCCGGTGAATTTTTAATTGTTAAAGAAGATGATTAGGGTGGATTTTTGCCTGTCATGCTTACGGTTTTGTGTACTGGTTCGAATATGGTGAAAAAGGAATTTCCGGTTGTTAAACTTCCGGCAGGTGCGCGCTCTTTTAAAAAGAAGGCAGATTAGGTTGATTGGCGGCCTGACAACACATAAACATAAATATTTCCAAAACAGAGAATTTTAAACAACCTTTTACAAATCATGTACATATGTACGACCAGTTTATAGGTAAATACAATAAGAGATCTAAATTTAAGGTAAATTATAGCAAAATACCTTGCGTTTCACACCATGTGTCAACACAAATTTCAAACATAACATGTCCATTCATATATTTATAATGATTATTTGTACTTTAGCACAGTCGATATATGGAAATACGAGCCAGATGAGTGAGCTCTCTTAGTTTTTTTTGTGGAATCGAAAGAATTTCATTTTTATTGTCTTAATTCATGTCTTCATACATTTGGGCAGTCAGATATCATGGATATAGAATTTATGGAAAATTTTATGCTCTTTTTGGGGGGAATCCGGGTCAGTTCACCCAAAATCATGTTTGCTCCCATACTCGTTCGCCCCCTTTCACGTTCTCACCCCTTACATTCGCACCTGTGGTACATTTGCAACCTTTTTAAAGGTGCATTTTGTGTTGAATAAGTTTTGAATCATGCTTAAGTACCTGCCAACTTTTGAAAGTCACCATGGGGGTTTTAGTGCGCGACAACAATTCTTTGGGACATATTTTGCGCGAGCTGTTTTGTGGTCTAGAAAAAGTGTCATATTTGTATGATGAGCTTACAAGCCTTTTTCTTAAGTTTATTAGCATGATTCTAGTTATTATTAATATATCAGTAGAAAAGATGAATCTGTAGCTAGAAGATCAGGATTTATTTTCTTGTGTTAGGATATCAAATGATTGTTGACGTTTAAAATTTAAAATTATACACAAAGAAGGACTTTTATCAGGTTGGGAACACAGTGTTTTCCATTCGGCATTTAAGCCAGGTGTGCCGACCACCTTCTTTTGAAAGCCGACCACCTTTCCATTTTAGGAGGTTGTTGGCTTTTTTTTCAAATTCCGGATTGTTTTCGGTTCCGCACCGTAAAAATTCAAATACTAATCGCGCCTCGCATTTGTTTTCATTGACAAAAATGGCGGATCGTCAAATTTCAATGTTTTCTTTTTATATAATCAGGGGAAGAGAAAGGCAGGTGACGATGGTAATAAGGAAAATTCTATGCCAAATAAGTCAACTAAAACGGATAGTTGTACTGAAATTGTTGAAATTGAAAAAAAAGTATCAAACAACGAAAAAGGCACGCAAGCGATCGCGAAGATGAACAGGTTGGGAACAATCCCCCAAATGAGGGATATCCGTTAAATGAGGGACTGTCTCTCTGGCAAGGGGTCATGTCAATACTGTTGAAGAAAAGAAAAGAGAAAAACTTAGATTTTTTAACTTAAAAGGGGGAAAATCGTTATATTTGGTCAATTTGGAACAACTTTTTTAAAAGAGGGTCCAATTATTTTTAATGATAAAGCAGATTAAGTCCAGGAATATTACAAATTTCTTGGACATGTTTTGACCATATAATACCAAATAGATGTATAGTTCTTTGGGAAAAGTTTCTGTAAATAAAATAAATATGAGTTCATTTGTATCTCGTGAAATGTACCCCTCATAAAAGGGGTAGTCATTACATTGAGAGTTTACCCCTCATTTGAGGGGTTGTTCCCAAGCTGATAAATATGAATAGGACTTTAAATGGCTAATCGGCACAGAAGGAGGATATTTCTGTTCTGTGTGCCAAAAATACAACACTAGAGCGAGGAACAGGACAGAAACTTGGATTGATAAGCAATGCATACATATATATATGTATGTAGGAGAAGGGAGTCCTGCAAAAGCCATATCTGCTATCCGAGATGCTAACAACTAATTTGTCAAATAAAAGGCTAGCAGTGATAGCAAAGAACGGTTCAATTTTATTAAATGTGAATACAATACTAATCCTTCTTTTTGTGTCCCAAAAAACAGTAAAGAAAAACCCGGTTGGAAAGGTAAAAACAAAAACAAAAAAACCAACCGGTTGCAAGTGATTTTTTCAAAACACCCACCTTACCTTAGTGAAAAATGGAGAACACTGGAACAACACCCCAAATGAGGGGTAACCCTCAATGTAAGGACATTAAAACCCAATTTTAAGTACAAATGAACACATATCTATATTATTTGAAGAAACTTTTCCTAAAGAATTATACATCTATCTGGTATTATATGGTCAAAACATGTCCAAGAATTTTGTAATGTTCCTGTATTTTTATCTTCTTTATTATTAAAAATAATTGGACCCCTCATTTAGAAAAGTTGTTCCAAATATAATGAATTTTCCCACTTTTAAGATAAAAAATCTTAAGTTTTTTTTTTTTTATTTACAACAGTAAAATGACCCCTTGTCTTAATGTCTTGTGGACAGTCCCTCATTTGAGGGATATACCCTCATTTGGGGGTTTGTTTGGTCCTTGTAAAAAATGAAGTACAAAATGTATAGTACATTGTACTTTAAATGATTTGCCCCATTTGGTAATTTAATTGAATACAAAAATGACATATGTTACAGCAAGTGTAATGTCAATAAATTAGTGAATAAACTACCATTTATTATCTTGATGGCAGTACTGCATATTGAATTTTGTCAATCAGCCATGCTTTTATTCTTAAGCTGTTTAAGAACCTCCTTGCAGATGAAAATTAATCTTCCATGTTCACGATTTTACAATTCTCGCTAACACACAGAGGAATACAACACAAGTTCAAAATCTAGCATGTTAGAATAATCTTCAGAGAAAACCTTTTTGATTGGCTTATTAATTTGATCATAAGAAACACAGAATTTGATTGGCTGATCATGATTGTCTTCCCTTGGAAACAATTCAAAATCAGGAACAATTTTTCGTGTAGATTTTTCACAAAATCGTGTTTTAGAGGTATTTTCACAATCAAGATCGTGCAATTGTGACAAAGGGTCAAAATCGTGTAATACACGCCTAAATCGGGAAAGTTGGCAGGTATGAGTTAGTGTATTGCTATAAAATAAAGAAAATAAGTTTTTTTTTATGAATTATTTTGACAAAATGTCAGAATAATGAATATTGTCATGATGATCAATTGAAGACTAAGTGATTTGTCTCTAAGACTTGTTAAAGAAAGGCAGAAGATTCCAAGCTGTTCAAAATAATTGTCTTTCAATTTTTTGTCGAGCCTGCGTCTTTTGTCGCAGAAAGCTCGACATAGGGATAGTGATCCGGCGGCGGTGTTATCTAACTTCTTAAAAGCTTTATATTTTAGAAGGTGGAAGATCTGGATGCTTCATACTTTGTATATGGATGCCTCATGTTACGAAGTTTTCATCAGTCACATGTCCAATGTCCTTGACCTCATTTTCATGGTTCAGTGACTACTTGAAAAAAAGTTAAGATTTTTTGTAATGTTAAATTCTCTCTTATTATAAGTAATAGGATTACTATATTTGGTATGTGCATACCTTGCAAGGTCCTCATGCCCGTCAGACAGTTTTCACTTGACCTCGTTCTCATTTCATGGATCAGTGAACAAGGTTAAGTTTTGGTGGTCAAGTCCATATCTTAGATACTATAAGAAATAGCTCTAGTATATTCGGTGTATGGAAGGACTGTAAGGAGTACATGTCCAACTGGCAGGTGTCATCTGACCTTGACCTCATTTTCATGGTTCAGTGGTTATAGTTAAGTTTTTGTGTTTTGGTCTGTTTTCTTATACTGTATGCAATAGGTCTACTATATTTGGTGTATGGAATGATTGTAAGGTGTACATGTCTAGCTGGCAGGTGTCATCTGACCTTGACCTCATTTTCATGGTTCAGTGGTCAAAGTTAAGTTTTTGAGTTATGGTTTTTTTTTCTAATACTATATGCAATAGTTCAACTATATTTGGTGTATGGAAATATTTTATGATCTATATGTCAGTCACACAGGTTTTATTTGACCTTGACCTCATTTTCAAGGTTCATTGCTCAGTGTTAAGTTTTTGTGTTTTGGTCTGTTTTTCTTAAACTATAAGCAATAGGTCAACTATATTTGTTGTATGGAAGAATTGTTAGCTGTACATGCCTGCCTAGCATGGTTCATCTGACCTTGAAATCATTTTCATGGTTCATTAGTCAATGTTTAGTTTACTTGGTTAATGTTAAGTTTATGTGACAGTTGTAATAAAGCTTTATATTTAGGACTATCAACATAATGCCAATGATTAGTAAAGAAAGCGAGACATTTCAGCGTGTGCACTCTTGTTTATTGAAAATCTTTTTTGTTTTTATTCTTATCAAAACAATTACTTGTATTTTTATTAACACCAAACACAGAACAATAATACCAAATTAGCTTTGTAAATACCAATTAAAATGATTAACAGCTAATCTGATAGATCCCAATTAAAAATTAATCATCTAATCATAAAAAAATTAACTCGTCTTTGCATAATATTTATTTACGCACAATGAATGTAAACTTGTGTGTTGTATTTTGGACAGTGATCTTAAAAGATTTTAAAAGAAATTAATTTGCCGTAGGAAGACAATTCGATGATACACATCTCAGTGATCAACAGTGTGTGGTTGAACTTGAACTTGACTTCGCTCACAATATTAAATGCTAAAAATAGCTGACATCAATTTTATCCACAGCACGAGATATATATATGGTGGGAAATAATATCACGTACCAGTAAACTCAGGTGACCTCTCTGAACGACAGTGGGAAAATTCATTCAGGTTTTTAAAGTTGCTTTGTATTAATGATTGAAATTTTTGTGCGTTAGTATTGAGGCTCTAGAAGGTCCTTTTACAATTGATTAACCGGAATCTAAAATATAATCCTTTTCCGAATAAACGAACACACGTCTTCTTTAACTATTTAATGTTTTATCAGTCAAAACAGGACGTAGACCATAACATTAGTTATACGTCCATGGTCAACAATATAAATTTATTGAAGATGAAAACACGATGCATGTCGTTAAGTTGGGTGTTGGTAGAGATCCTCTGTGAAAATGTGTAGATCGTTAAAATCCTGTCCACTTTTTTTTTCACATATTTTTTTCTTGTAGCATCTGGGTACACGATATAATTTCATTTTAATATTTTTCGTATATATATTTGATTTTTTTCTATAGTAATTGTTGAAATAATTCTTTTTTTTTCATTTCACCAAGGACTTTTAACGAGCAATAAAATACGGATTGCGCTCATCCAATTTTATTTTAAATAATTAAAGATCAATAACAGAGATAAACGCATGATTTTTTTCCATATAATTAATTAAGTTGTGAATGTTGTGTTGTGCCTAGGCGGGGAATTTCTCTCAGTGTTTTGTTTTTTATGAATAAAGGGCATGCATACAAAACTTATTCCCTTTGTTCAACAGAGTTGTCACTTTACAGTTTCTTTTCGGAATTCAAATATCGAATTTCAAAGCAATATTATTACAACAATATATATTCTTTACTTTCAGATAAATTTGATCCTTGAAGTTTTAGAATGCCAAGTGCTGGTGCTGTTTGTCCCCCTCAAATTACTCCTTTACGTAAACACATACCTGGTATCGTAAAGTCAAAGGTTGATACTACAACTTTAATTGAATTAGTTTCAGGTAATAATAAAAATAAGAAACCTGTAAAAATGAAAAACAAGATCACAAACTAAATGCTGTAAATTCAGAAATTATTGTGGGAATTATATTATTGCAAATAATGCGTCTGGGTGATAATTGCAAAAATAAGAAGTCGCATTATGATATCTTATACATATGAGTGTATGCAGATTTTCCTGAAATTGCAATAATAAATCTCTTTTTTGTCCTTTCTTTAAGAATCGTAATAATAAATGCACACAATAATTTCTGAATTTACAGTACACATACTGTATCAATGTTTATACAATATACATGTAATGATAACTCAGGAAGTAAGAGAAATGTAATAATGACTTTCATGGACGACAAAGCTAGTCTATAGGTGTAGCTTGAATTTGAGCAGTGATGCCATAGACATATGCTTTAGTAAGGTGTAACATATGATGTGGGTTTGAGTCAGGTTAAGGTATTTTTGTTAAAAGAATCATTAATGTTGCCAAATTTAGGTAGAAATAGGAGTGGTGGTTGTAAACTTACAATTTACTATGTTGACTTATAGGAAATGCATCACTTAATATGATAAATATCTCTTGTATGCAGTTCTTAGAAACATTAACATTGTAAGTTATTACATAAGTTTGAAGCTTTCTTGTTCATGTTCATTTTGCAATATTTACAGTCTCTCCAGAAATCCTGAATTAAATTTCATCAGAGGTTATTGAAACAATCCATTATTTTCATCATGCCATTTAGTGGAGGAATAGCAGGTCCCATAATTGTTCCATTACGCCGCCCAAAAATTGGTGTTCTTGGGTCAAATATTGATACCAAGACATTCATGGCCATTCAGTCAGGCAAGTCTGCATGGAAAAACTAGGTTTTAATTTTAGCTGAAACTGCTAAAAAGCATGTCATGATATCAATGGCTAGGAGACAGAGTAGTATAAGCAACTTGGCTTGTTTCTGAACCCTATCTATTTCATGTATAATATACTATATTACTAATTCAAATGAATATTGTTTATATTAATGGCTCAAAAGCTTATGCTGACACACTTATGTGTAACTGCTAAAATAGCATGGCATGTGGATCCACAGTTTAGACAATATGATTTGAACTTGTATCCTCAAAAAGAAGTAAGATGATCATAATGAAACAAGAATGTTAAGAGCATGTTAATTTAATATGGGTATATACATTGTGAAATATAAGTGTTTGTGACTAATACACATTTCAAGGTATTTAGGGCAATAATTGACCACACTATTATAAAAAACCCTGGATATTCTGCATAAATCTGCAAACATCATGATTTTCGGCAGATATCGGAAATCATTAATATGAAACACTTTTCAACTTGTAAATTTCTTTGGGAATTCAAACATGTTTTTACAGTACTCTGGATATGCTAAAAGTCAGGAGTATTTAATATATTTTTACAAGTAATTTTTATGTTCTGGAAGATTTAAGTAATATTCATGATATTTACTTGTCATATTTAGATTTTCTTTAGAAGGCTTGAATAATCTCCCCTTTATCTTTTTCCAGAAATGTACTTATACAAGTATTTTTTACTTGTTACTAGTTACTTGTATAACTATTACCCAAACTGTCTGTTAAAAAAAACTGATACCATATGGTTTCATTTATTTTTTATTTTTTTTTAAATATCAAATTTTGATTGCCTTTTTGTTTATCATGTTTATAGTCTAGACACCTTTATGCGAATGCTTTAGTCTCTCATATGTTATTGAAGTTTTATATAGGATAGAATAAAATATGCTTTTTTTTTAAGTAGGATATAATAAAATATGCTTTTTAACACAGCTTTTGATGAAGTTGCTGTTTTTTATAGTAATGATTGTTTGCATGAAATGCATGTACATATGCAACCACATTTAAGTTTGTTGTTTTAGTTTTGTTTATTCATTATTATAGTGTCACTAATGAAAAATTGGTATAAATAGTTTATATTTTTGGCATAATTATATGCAAACAAAGATTAAGATAATTTATAAAATTGGATCTCTATGTATATAGTTTAACTTTACAATTTTTTTAAAATCTAAGACATACATGAAATAGCTTAGGTACAAAACATATTGACTAAAGACTTTTATAAAAATAGATATTTGGTGCATTGGCGATGAAAAGGTCTGTTTTTTGTATATTAAAACTGAAATAAAACCGTTAGCATTTGTAACTAAGAGCTGGCATGTATTAAAAGTGTTTCTTATTCATGATCGTGTATCATTTTATGAAGATATTGAAGTAAAATTCTAAAATAAATAATTACTAAAAAATAGTCCTAGTATTATAATCTGTAGTTATAGTTGCTAATCATTTATTTATATTTAAATTGAGATGTGACAATGACACAGTAGCCAAATGACAAAGAAAAAAACATCTAGAGGTCAAAGTCTTCAGCTATAGTGTCATACCAACATGTCCAGCTAGAAATCGCTTATAGTCTGGCAAAGTTGTGAATAAATTTAATAGAGACTTTTAAAATTTTGAAATTAATGACCTTGAGATATATATCTATATTTCTATTACACAATGCAAAGGAATATTTAATATTTGGTGGATAGTCTATAAAATCATCTTTTAAAATTAAATTCAGGTGTGAGTGAAGTCAGTGAAGTGTTCTTATTAAAAAGTTAATTCATAGAAATAAAAAGATATAAGGGGTGATTATACATGTAACATCAATGAGACAGCAACACAAAAACCATAAGACACATAGAGGACATCATATTTATGTTTGTTTACATTCATCTGGTTTTAATTTCTTTCAAAGGGGGTCTCATTGGGGGGGGGGGGTTCTGATCCCGGATCCCGCTTACTGTTTTGTCAGATTCCCGTATCCCGCTAACACTATGTACGTAAGCAATTCTCATTTTTTTGTAATTTCCTGTGTCCCGCTAGACTTCATTTCCCGTTTTCACTGCACAATATTTTGACTTTCAAGTGTTACGCTTACAAAAAATCGGCAATCCCGGGTCACGCTTAGACCCCAATGAGACCCACTTCAAACTTAGAAAAATAAATAATATAATTGGTATTTGAAATTCCAAAAAAGTTTGATTAATTCAAATTTCAAATTCTTGATTCTTGATTCAAAGATTTAGTGATAAAGAAGTAAAATGAAGTGAAATATTGCTATGATTTTTTTACCTCTTTCCTGGAAATATTAAGTATAAGAGTTAAATAACCTTTAAAAACAGAAAAAATATGTCCCAGTATATGTATATAAAACATGTGAAGAAAGTTTACAGAAACAATCAAAGATCTGTTATAAAGACCCAATTCTCCAAATAATGAATAACAGTGAAGACAAGTCCAGACAAGGTTTCTAATTTTAGAATATTAAAATTGCATATTTCTTAAAAAAAGTTCTATTATTAATTTATAGATACTCCTGATTGTAAATTATACTTTACCTCTGATGGCAGTAAACCATCAGCCTTCCAGAGGAAGATAGGTGGGAAGGAAGTCACATTTAAGTATGTAGGCCCATTTACACTAAGATCTGGCAAAAGAACTCTCAAAGCCATTGCTGTCAGCAGGTATGTATATCCATTTTAATTAAATCAATATGTACTTTTTAAAAATAATTGGAAATTGTGTTAAAATTTGTGTATAAAATTGTCTTAATTCTTTATGTGCATGTCCTAAGTCAGGAGCCTGTAGTTCAGTGGTTGTCGTTGGTTCATGTCTGTCAAATGGTTTTTCGTAAATTGTTTTGTTATAAATTAGGCCGTTAGTTTTCTCAATTGAATTGTTTCATATTTTTCATGTCAGGGCCTTTTATAGTTGACCATACGGTATGGGTTTTTCTCATTGTTGAAAGCCGTACGGTTGCCTACAATTGCTTACATCCACTTTATTTGAACTTTGGTGGATAGTTGTCTCATTGACAATCATACCACATCTCCTTATTTTTATATTAAATAAAAAAAGAAATTTTCTAAAAAATATTGTTGTTATCCATTGTGAAAGCAAAATTCCAGTTTGTTGCTTTTAGAGAAAATAAGCAAAAAAAGGTAGTAAAATGCAAAACTCTGATTTGTGTTGAATATATGCATGGAAAATTCAGAATAGTGGTAAATTAACCATCATGATAGTGAAAATCACTAAGACATTTAGAAGTTACAACTGAATAACTTTGTTTGCACTTAACAGATTCAACTTATCTTTTTGCACTAATGTAAAAATACATAATGTCTAATGCCTTGTAGAATAGATATTGAGTATGAATATCAGCAATTAAACTTCATTACAAATGAATTGTATTAATGCAGTTTTCAATTCAAAGCACAATCATGAATATAAATGTAAATATAAATTTTTCAGAGATGGGATGCGAGAGAGTGACGTTGTCACAAAACAGTTTAATGTGGAAGATATTGGTGCTCCAACTGCAGATTATACCACAGATGACTACAACAGTTTCTTTGAAACATCAGACCTAGACACAGACTGTACATTGACATCAGGATCAACATTAAAGTCATCACATAAAAAATCAAATCTAAAGAAGAAACCTCAGAGGGTAAATCTCTCAACTTATTGTTCATTTGATTGATTTATTTTTTGTTGATTGAGGAAAAATTGTATTCTCATGGATTTTCCTGGCTTTGCCAAAGTCTGTATACAATATAAACATTAAACATTAAAATTCGTTGTTCACCTTTACTAATGACAGTGGCGGATCTAGAAATTTTCATAAGTGGGGGCCCACTGACTGCCTAAGAGGGGGCCCGCTCCAGTCATGTTTCAGTGATTCCCTATATAATCAACCAAATTTTTCCCCAAAAAGGGGGGGGCCCGGGCCCCCTGGCCCCCCCTTAATCCACCTCTGAATGAAATCCACAAAATTGGTATCCCATGAATAGTAATGATTCCACAGTGCTTACATGTTATGAGAACTGTTTTAACAAGTTTTATATGTTCAGAACATGGGTAAATCTGATATAAAAGTCAAGTTGTTTCATCTAAGGGTTATTTAAAGAAAAAATCATCTTATAAAGCTTAGAGAGAAAGGAAAACATTTTTTCAAGACCTACCCCATATAATTTTATCAAAAAATCAAGTGTATTTGTATTTTGAAAGCTGTTCTTGAAATAAAAAAATTGGCAAACATACACAAAACAATAACAAATAAAAGACCAAAATGGATTATTTTTCCACTGTGAAGGTCTTCTACATAATAAAAATGCCTTTTTGGAAAAGTTGAATGTTTGAATGAATATTAAAGGAAAGTGGTAGTGTAAAACTATTGAAAAGTTATTATTTAGAATATTTTGTGGTTAATTTTGAAATTAAAAAAAAAAAGAGAATTATAGCCATGATATCAATTCCAAGAGATATATGACACACAGTTCTGTAATAACCATCCTTGTCCATTAGTCTTTCACAGATAGTTATCTCATTCACAATCATACCATATCTTCTTATTTTTTTTTCTACAGGTATTTTTTTTAAACTGACAGGCTAATTATAAACAAATTGCAATATAATCCAAACTGTGATAAGTAAATTGAATTAATTTTATATTTGATTAAATTTAATGTATTTTTGTTATATATTTCAGAGTACAACACCAATCAGAAGTAAATCCCCTCTCAGGAAGACCAAGACACCAAAAGAAGCATGGGCCAGTAGTAGTTCACCTGTTCTAGATGTGGGAGCTTATGATGGACCAGGTACAAATAGTGATTATACAGAAATATTTCATTTTGAAAGTATACTGTTGAATTATTGTAATAATTCATATTTTTATGCCACTGCTCCAAGGGAGGGGTACAAAGTTTCACCCTGTCTGTCCGTCCATCTGTCCAATGGGATTTCAGTAACTTTTTCTCATGAACTACAAATTATGTTAACAATTTCTATTTTACTAAAATTCTTTCAATAATTGAATCTAATACTACTTGTTTAAACAGTACCTGATATGCTGATAGGAAGGCCAAGACACTTAAACACTCATAAAAATAGGCCATATAAATTGTTATAGTATAAAGCAGTTCTTGTGTTGAAAATTGTAACTAGAGGCTCTCAAGAGCCTGTGTCGCTCACCTGATTCTACTTTGGTTTTGGAAATCATGTAAAAATAGATTAAAATCATAACAGATACCCTAATAATGAGTGAGGCCAAATTTGGTTTAATATTGGTCCTGTAATTTAATAAAAAATCCTGGTGGCCATCTTGAACAGTAAATCGGCAACAAAGTAGCAACACTTAATCAGCACCTCATAAGAAACATTTATGCCATGTTTTGGTTTCATTCCATTCAGTGCACCTCTAGAAGAAGCATTTGTATGTATTTCCCATAGGGTCTTATGTTAAAGGAAGTCCCCCCATTGGCGGCCATCATGGATGGAGGATCAGCTTCAAAGTAACAAAACTTAGTTAGCACCTCATAAGGAACATTCATGCCATGTTTGGTTTCAATCCATTCAGTATGTGGTTCTCTAAAAGAAGACATTTGTATGTATTGTCCATAGTGTCCTTTGTTAAACATTGTCCCCATCTGGCAGCCATTATGGATGAAGGATCAGCTTCAAAGTAACAACACTTGGTCAGCACCTCAAAAGGAACATGCATGCCATGTTTGGTTTCATTCCATTCAATGGTTCTCTAAAAGAAAACATTTGTACGTATTTCTCATAGGGTCCTATGTTAAACTATGTCCTCCGCTGGCGGCCATCTTAGATTATGGATCGGCTTCATAGTAACAACACTTGGTCAGCACCTCATAAGGAACATTCATGCCATGTTTGGTTTCATTGCATTCAGTGGTTCTCTAAAAGAAGACATTTGTATGTATTTCCCATAGGGTCCTATGTTAAACTAAGTCCCTCTCTGGCGGCCATCTTGGATGATGGATCGGCTTCAAAGAAACAACACTTAGTCAGGACCTCATAAGGAACATTCATGCCTTGTTTTGTTTCATTCCATTCAGTGGTTCTCTAAAAGAAGACATTTGTATGTATTTCCCATAGGGTCCCATGTTAAACTAAGTCCCCCGCTGGCGGCCATCTTGGATTATGGATCGGCTTCAAAGTAACAACACTCGGTCAGCACCTCATAAGGAACATTCATACCATGTTTGGTTTCATTCCAGTCAGTGGTTCTCTAAAAGAAGACATTTGTATGTATTTCCCATAGGGTCCCATGTTAAACTAAGTCCCCCGCTGGTGGCCATCTTGGATTATGGATCGGCTTCAAAGTAACAACACTCGGTCAGCACCTCATAAGGAACATTCATACCATGTTTGGTTTCATTCCATTCAGTGGTTCTCTAAAAGAAGACATTTGTATGTATTTCCCATAGGGTCCCATGTTAAACTAAGTCCCCCGCTGGCGGCCATCTTAGATTATGGATCGGCTTCAAAGTAACAACACTCGGTCAGCACCTCATAAGGAAATTTCATACCATGTTTGGTTTCATTCCATTCAGTGGTTCTCTAAAAGAAGACATTTGTATGTATTTCCCATAGGGTCCTATGTTAAACTCAGTCCCCTGCTGGCGGCCATCTTGGATTATGAATCGGCTTCAAAGTAACAACACTCGGTCAGCACCTCATAAGAAACATTCATGCCATGTTTGGTTTCATTCCATTCAGTGGTTCTCTAAAAGAAGACATTTGTATGTATTTCCCATAGGGTCCTATGTTAAACTAAGTCCCCCGCTGGCGGCCATCTTGGATGATGGATCCGCTACAAAGTAACAACACTTGGTCAGCACCTCATAAGGAACATTCATGCCATGTTTGGTTTCATTCCATTCAGTGGTTCTCTAGAAGAAGTTCAAAATGTAAAAAGTTAACGCCGACGATGACGGACGACGCCGGTTGACGCCGGTCGACAACGGACGACGGACGCCAAGTGATGAGAATAGCTCACTTGGCCCTTCGGGCCAGGTGAGCTAAAAAAGGAATAATAAAAAAAAGCAAATAACAGCCATGCATCTGAAGGAAGGTCATGAATATCGAACTTCATTTGTGTCATTAAGGATTATATCAAGTAGTTTGAAAAAAGAATTACAGGCATAGAAATGTTCAATATTGTGAAATCAAATTCATTGTAGTCGCATATAGAATGTACATGGTGCAACATATCTTGAACATGAATATAATAAAATTAAGAATTTAACATCATTAGAAGTAATGTAAACAGAAAATTGTTAGAATTACACTTCCGTTGATGTCAACATTTCAACAATGACTTGTCAATTTTGTATGAGGAGGATTTACTTGCGGTGAAAAAAATGGTAAAAGTGAAGAAAAAATAGAACTTCTTTTTCTTCTAAGGTGACTGTTTTTAGAATGACATTTCCAATTTGGTAATAAAAATATATTTGGAAGCCCCACTTATGTACACCAGTAAACACTGGTATTATTGAAGAAAAATATGTGTTTTTTTATATCATTTTATATTTGAATGTTTCAGAATATCCCACCCCTGAGATACCAGATGGACCATTTAATCCTGTGAATTACTCAGGAACACAGATAAATGTATGGGGAGGTAATCCTAATGCATGGCCAGGCATGAATGCTAACAGTGGCGCAGTTACATTTGGTCATCCTAATCAGGGAATGTCACCTTACTCTACACAATTTGGTTACCTTACAGAAAATATGATTCAGGTAATTTTGATTTTGGTTAATAACTGTGTTGTCACTTCACTAAAGGAAAAAAGGGTCAGGAAACCTTAGAATGACCCTAAAACTCACTATTTGTTTATGAAAATTACTGAACTTTTTATGGATAATAAGGGACATTATCATATACTTAGAGTAAATAACTTATAATTTTTACAGTATGATAATAGCATTAAATTTACGTGAATTCCATATTTTCCCGAAATGGTGCTTTGCGCGCTGATATGAAAAATTTATCAACTGCTTCCAGCTATTATCGCATGGCATTCAGACGTTACTTGGCAAATTCCGGAAAATACACCTCAATAGTTTCATTTTCAGTGAAAAACATAACAAAGTAGGGTACAAAACAAATATTAGGAAACAGGAAAATGTATTATGTAAAATGCAAAACAAATGATACAATAAATGCATTTTTCAAAGTTTCCAGCATAATTTAGCAAGTTACTTTACAAATGTTGACTTTTCCAAACAGTGTTCATTATGTTTTGTTAATTTTTTTTATCGTCAATATAAAAATATATTATACTGTTGTTTTTTTCCTCTGTTGAGGCATATGATAGAAAGATTTCATATCGGATGTATTACATTTGGCGTCCGTCGTCCGCAAACTTTTCAGTTTATGAACTTCTACTTGAGAACCACTTAAAAGGATAAATATATATTAAACTGTTATTTTTCTCCATTGTTGAAGCATATGATAAAAAGATCTTAACATGTCATTTTTCATATCAGATGTATTTTCAGCCCTAGAGCCTTTGGTTCTTGGGCTGATATTGAACCTTGGGCTGATAATGCATCTGATATGAAAATTGCCATGTAATAATCTGATAATATTGACCCTTTCAGGAACCTATATCTCTGTTTTGTTTTTTTTTATTTTGAAGTATTTGATACTTAAGATAGTGTGGTCTTTTCATGATTGTTATTTAGTCACAGTGTCTGATTCAGACTGATTTCATGCAAACAGAAATTAATTGTCGTTAGGCTATCTTAATTATCGTACATGAATCAGAATTTTTCTTGAAATCTAACCCTCCCAAATAGTTACTATAATCTTTGCTTCTTCCATTATAATTTTGAAAAAGATCACAGACACGTTTTGAATTTTGCAGATATTAAGTCTATGTACTGATCCCAAATTATTAGTGTAATTAAATATTGTAATTGAATAAAGTGTCTGACATAGATTATATTTATATGCAAATGCCTTACTTGTGTATATACTTATAGACCTGAATTAATTTATATACAGCAATATTCTGAAATAACAATACATATAACTTATTAATTGATTTTTTAGGGTTGTAATCCAGAAAACAGACATGTTACAGTTGGAGAACTTAGAAAATCAATGGAAGGAAGAAAACCTCAAATAAAAGAAAAACCTCCTTCTCCACCTCCAAGTCCGCCCCCTCCTGCTATAGAATATCCACCAAAAGATCCTGTACCAAATACTATTAGTCCTGGAAATGGTAAATAAATTGACAGTTTTGTTAATTTATGTTGTAATGAAAAATTTAATTTCAAGGAATGATGGGACACTCATTTTGAATTAAGTTTAATATTTTTTGGATTGTAAGACTAAGGATGATATTGATTTTACAGAGGCTGATCTGTAACCATGCATGGGAACATTGTCTTGTTATCAATATGAAATCATACTTGTTATTTCATATTATTTTGAGAATGAATGCATTCTGGATTATATGTTTAAAAAAGTGCCCAGTTGTGTAAGGGCTATTCCATTAAAATGTATGTGGGTAGGAAGGGACTTTCAAAATATCCCTACAACCAAGAACCATTTTTTAGATAACTTTGTATAATGGTAATAGATGCATACTGAAAAAAGACCCATGACCCACATTCAATAATTAAACTTCCCTTACTACCCTCCCACATACATTTTAATGGAATAGCCCTAAAGAGATTGCATACCAACATTCTAATAAATAGATGCTCTATCTTTTACATTTAGTATACTTGAGAGGCAGATATAAAGAATAATAAATGGTCAAATATATTTCTTTTACATTTTAAATGTGTCAAAACCTAAAAGTAGAAAATATTATTGGAAGGGGGGGGGGGGTGGGGGTGGGGAGAGAGTATTTTAATTTGTTTCTTTTATATTACTTGCATTCAAGGATATATTTCAAAAATCAACATTTAACATTACTGCATTGTCTTGAAATTTTATTAATAGAAAAATATCCCAAGATTATTTATTTCTGAAGTATTACAAAGCTATTAAACCAAAATCAAAATTTAATGTACTTTATCTGCAAATAAGCTTAGTTTTATTATCTAAAATTAAAAATCTTTTAAAGGGACTTTCACAAAGAGTGACTTGCATAGTATTATTTTACATGATCATATTTGTTTTATAATTTCTTATGATATAATTATATACATGTCATGTGGAGCTTCAATCAAAAATCATAAGTCAAAGAAAGTTGGACAATAGCATTCCCAAAAGAAAAATATAAATTGACAAACAGCATTTCACTAAAAAAGGAAACACAAAGATTGAGAAACACTTATCCCACCAAGGGAAGGTAAACTCAGGGGCTGCAGAAGGGTCAGCAGTCCCTGCTCCACTTATGACACCAATCTCTTTGCTCCCTGTTGTGATAATATTATTTATGAAATTTTGTTTCTTTTCTTTTTTTCTTTGTGAAGCTATTGTGATTATTTATTTTAGGTGATTTTAAAGAAAATATACGTCATGTATATGCCCATATGCTTGAATATGCAAAAGGAAATAAAGATTTCAGATTGAAGGTAGCAGAGCCAAAAATGGGAAAGGTAAATTCTAGTTTTAAACTATATTTTATTTTCTGTTCACTGGATCACTAAAATTAACTAAGACTTTTAAGGTAGAAAATTACCATCTATTTGCATTCTATTAAACAGTATCAAAGAAGTGTGAAGAATTAATGAAATATTCCTTCGAAAATATTATGATATATGAATTTACAATTCCAGATGTTAGAAGCAAAGTTTGAAGATGAAGGTGATGGATATAGAGTCTCAGTTGTCATGGCAAAGCCAGGTGTGCCCAGTAAGTGAACTGCAGCATGCATTTGTATAACAACTTAGCATTTTATATAACATATTCTGTGATATTTTGAAATCTGTTGCTTTGATATTCACCTTGTTTCAACATTTCTGTCAAAACTACATGTCAATCAAATATTATTTTAGGTGCAATTAGTAGAAAGCTCTATTATGAAGTCTTACTATTTTCTTTAACTTAAATAAATAGAACTGAAAAGGTAATTCAAATATACAACAGATTTCTGTTACTGTTAGTTTAGATGTTATTATAGAACAAAATTCTTGTTGTACATATAGGTGTATTTTATTTAGCTTTAGAATGTATACTGTAAAGGTGAAGGTATGTTTTGGGTCTTATGCTATTAGCCTGGTAAATTTAGATAAAGAATACAGAATTTGTGTGAAACCTTTTTTTAAATAACTTTTATATTTCTGAATAAAAGCTTCAAGAACAATATGTGCTCTATGCTATTTCTCTGCAAGTGCATGTCAAACAATCGATTTTGTACAATTTTACCATTTTGCTTCATGTCTGTATTACCGATGAAAGGACAATTCTTTTTACATATACAACAATGTTTATTGAAGAAAATTGATTAAAAGTTTAGTTCTGCTAATAAAAGAAATTTGAAAATTAATTTTACAATCACATACATGTATAAGGAATGTTTTAGTCCCAAATCATACTTTCTCCTATATTAGATACTCATGTTTTCATTGTAGGAACAATACTTTTTTATTGCTAAAGATATTTGGCTTGCACATTTATAAATGTTTTAATATTTCTGAATTTTTAAAAATTCTTGTTCAACAGTTCATATAGTAAAAATATAAAAGACATTCTGTTTGTCATTATCTGATTGGCATATCCTCCTTCTGCCTTCCACATAACAAAATGCGAAGAAAATGGCTATATATTCAGTGGGCTTCAATGAAGTTGATGGAGTGCTGTTGGCATTTCATGTGACCATGTGTATTTTTGTTATTGTCTGCAGCCAATTCTAAGTTGAGATATAAGGATTTATTAAGGAAAGTATATATGGCAGTATACCACAAAAAGAAGGTCATTTTGACCTTGATTTCATGCTGCACTGATTTATATTAGGGTTTATGTACATGTTCAGGTCTCAAATACCAAGGTTCAGTTCTTTCCACACTGACATCTCTGACTTTGTAATAAAAAAAATGTTTAAAGTCTTATTAAAGATCTTTTAATACATCTTTAATATTATGAATACATGTAATAGAGTAGTATCTTAATTCTTTTAATGCTGTCTACAATTATAGCTCTCTAGAACATCCCTCCCAAATAATGTAATGTATGATACCAGACTAACTACTTTTGTGTGTAACCATAAACAATGATATGTTATTTAAATGTTTTGAAAGAGCTTTGTATTGTGAACATTATTGTTTAGTTATTTCAGGACAATATTTTTGTGCGTTATTAATTTTTCAAATTATACATGTTATAGTTAGGTCTGGGATTGATGGAATTTGGAGATATTTCATACTGTCAGTTTATGTTTGCCTATGCATGATTAGTACAAATGTATAACAGTTTCATATCTCAAATTTTTTCATAGACATAATTTACATTTTTTTTTTATACAATGCTGGTTGTAATACATGTTTGAAATATGTTATATCTGCCACCATAGTACTTGTATCAGGAAAAACACTTGCTAGTAATTAATGGACAAAGAACTTCTTAATGCTTTGTTTGATAAAAAATAATGGAACAGGGACCCAATAATTTCTTAATTATTTCAATACAATTTTATCCAAATTGAGGGGCAGATTTTATATTCCCTATATTAGACTGCAAAATTTCAGTTACTTTCTCTTAGTAGCCCCCTTCATAATTCATTAAATAATTCTTGGAGGGTCGTGGCAGGCATTTAAGAGAGCAATACTGTTTTGAGTATTAATAGGGTCATTTTATTAACTTCCTGGTAAAAATCGAAAATAAAATTTGGACCATTTGCTCAGACAATCATCAACCCTATACATTTAAGAATCACTAAAAATTTAACAGAAGTAAGTTTAATGAATACCCTTTAGATATACATGTACTACATTTTTTAGCATCTTTACATAATTTTCATCTCTGTGCAATATCCCATTTAAAAGACGGAAGATTTATTAAGGGACTTTATTCGTAGGTACTGAACTGGTATCCTGTAACTGGGAGCCTATTCCTTATCTTGAAATATTAAAATTGTTCCTTTAATTCATGTCGGTTCATAGTCACATTACTGTTAATTGGAATGACCTAAAACTAGTTGCATTTAATGAATTAACCACTATTTTATAGCCACTGTAAGTTTCATGTAATTTTTATTTTCAAAGTGGATGTACAGTAATTTAATATTATTCTTTTTTATTTAAAGAGTTTTGCTTAAATTTTGTAGTCATATGTAGGGCTCCCTACTTTTTTTACACTTTTAAGCTTGTATAATTTCTGTTAGAATGTATCCTTAGATTAATTACCTTGCTTGTCCTGTGTATAGTGAAAAAGTTTTTTTATACCGAGGGTACATTGTACTTAGTGCATAGAAAGAATATTTATATGCTCCCCTTAGTATAGTTGGGAACATTATGTTTTCTGGTCTGTGCATCTTTCCGATATTATGTCCATTGAACATTCTTTGTCTGTATCGCAGCATAATTAGATATATACATAGAAACACAATTAAAAAAACATTAAAACCTGTCAGATAGAAAGTCAGCATGCCCCTTATACAATAAAATTGATACAGCTTAAAAAGTTAGATTATGCCAAAAATGAGATATTTTTAAAGGTTAAAGTTTTTGGTTAAGGTAGTTTACTATGAAGTTGTGGTCCAATAAACTTTAAACTTCTGCCAAATTTACAGTTTGACCTGAGTTCACAGTTCACTGAACATGGAAATGTGATAGTTAGAGTGCCCTATGAACACATTTTCTTTTTTCTAATCTATTTATTGGCGGTCAAAAAATAACAAGCAATGCCTGTGATATTTGAGTTTTATTTCAATATTTCATTTTTGTATTTTATGTATTTTTTTTTATTTAAAATGACATATGAAGTTATATTTGCATATTATATATCACCATTGTGTATAATTAGATGAATATGTACAAATGAAATATGAATTAGATAATAAAAAACAATGAACTCTATTCTCACTATTGTTTTCTTTGTATTTGCCAGGGGGATCTGTTCGAAAACCACCCAAAGTTGAGCCTAAAGTAGAACCAAAGAAAAAGACAAATGGCAATGGTAAACCAAAACCTAAAGAAACACCTCCACCTAAAAAGTCTGATCCATATTTTGCCATGGAAACAGAAAATTTAGAGGTATACAAATATGAAAGGAAATTTGAGATTTTATTATTTAAAGGCAATTCCATTTGAAAGACAAGTGTGAAGCAGAGTTGAAAAATTATAAATCAAACAACAACCAGCAGGTGGTTTATGAATATTTTTTAAAAGAAACAACTTTACTTTACAAAGACATGTAGACAAGCACAGAAAATCCTTGTTCATGAGTTGTTCTGGTCTTCAAGCATTTTTATTTATATTATATTCAGAAGATGAAATTTTGTTCAAAGGGTAACAAAATATGTGTCTATTATATTGATTAATTGACGTTTGCTGAAATGTTCAATTGCAAATATTACATACATTTAATTGACAATATGACTTATCAAGAAATATATTTTGAAGATTACAGTTTACATGTGAAATGTTAAATTTGACAATCCATCTTACAGATCAGCATTAGCCAAAATATGTATTGAAAAATTAGGAATCCACTAAAATAAAAAAATTCACATATAGTTTTTCAATGTAGAACCACTAAAGTTTACACATTCGAATAAAACCAGGTATACAGTATTGAGTGCTTACAACCCTTAAGCAACTCAGGATTTCAATAAATATTCCAATGAATCATGATACAAAAATATATGAAAAATAACAAGAATTACCAAATATATTGGACAGTACAACAGAGTGTACCAACCACCAACACCTGATGAGTACATAATGGTATTGTATATCTCTTATTTTGTTTTTTTATCATTGATTTTTGGGATTTTCCATAGCAAACATAGACTTTGCCATATCTACATAATTAGAGGGCATAGGTTATGAAATTGTGAATTCTGCCTTAACTTTTTAAAGTTATCTTAAAAGGCTTCCCTATGCTACATATCAGACAAGAATTGTACATACAAACAAATAAAAAAAACATTTTAAAATATAATGGGATGGAAGTAGTGATGTTAGGGCTTGATATAATTACAGACTGAAGGGACAGTGAAACCATATGATAAATTCAATGCTGAACAAGATGCTGAAGTCTTAAGAAATGCCATGAAAGGACTTGGTAAGTAAAATTTGCTACATAGTTTTTAATTGGATCTTTTTGTTGAGCCTGCAAAATTTATTTTTTGAAAGCGAGACATAGCGATCCTAGATTCTGTCATCGGCGTCAACATTTAGTTTCAGTCTGTTGTTATAGTTTTTTTAGACATCAATAACTTTGTCAAACCTTAATGGAATTTTATGAAATTTGGACAGAAGCTTAGTTATGACCAAAATACAGTATTCAGAGAAAAATTTTGAAAATATTTATTTTCATTTTTCCATATTTAACTGATAAATGGACTTAGTTTTTTTTTACTTTTAACAAATAAATTCAGTCTGGGGTTTAAAGATTGTTACACATCAATTACTTTATCAAACCTTCATAGAATGTTATGAAAATTTGGCAGAACCTTTTTTATGATTAAGAGATAATGTCTAAAGATTCTAAAGCAAACTTTTGAAAATAATTTTTTTTCATTTTCAGTATTTTCTGATAGTTGGACATAGTGTTTTACAGTTAACATTCACAGACAGTCTGGGATTAAACTTTTTTGACATGATAAAATTGTAAACCTTCATGGAATGAGACTTATGAGAGAATCAAATTTTATACCAGATTAAGAATAAGTTGTTTTACAGTATGAATTTCACATCTAGAACAATCAAGGGGATGGTTTATGATCCAGATGTCTTACAATATAATTTAACTTATTTGGGCTTAAAAAAACTAACAAAAAATTCATGATTTTTTTTTCACTACATGTAATAGTGTTCTAGACATTAAAATTGTAGTGGATTTTTCTTTCACTATATAGTTAGTTTACCGTAAGAATATTATTATAATGTAACAAATTTATCTGCATGCATGGCAGGTAATCTTTTACAAACATTTTGGTGCACATAGAATTTTTATTTTATTTAAAATAATATTTATAAAAAATGAATGGTATGCATATATTAAAAAAAAATTAAAAATTATGAATTCCTGTCTATTTTAATTGATGGATGGCTGCAACACTGTTTATAAATAACAAGCTTTTTAAAAGACTGCTGTAAATTGATAGTAAATAAATAACCAAACTAAAAAGCAGAACAAAAATGAAAGGTCTGTGTCCTTTTTTTTTTGAGATATAAGCCCTGTAAAATTTGGTGGGAAAATATTCTCTCTTAGATTTATCATACATTTAACATGGCACTTTTTAAACTATATGTATTGAAATGATAAAAAGAAATGTAGGGGTAAGAGGGCAAAATATTTAATGGCACTTCATGGATAAAACCAGAGGATTCGGAATATCTGACAAAATATCAGAAACAAGATCGAAGACATCCTTAAAACATATGTTTTATATTTTACAGGAACTGATGAAGATTCAATCATCAATGTGTTAGCATATAGATCTAATCCTCAACGACATGAAATATATACTACGTACAAAACAATGTTTGGAAAGGTAATAGTCTAGTTTTTGTTAAACTGTCCTTTCTATGTGGAACAAATGGATAGGATATGGTCAAATTAGGATAAATGACATATTAAGGATCAAACAAGTCCAATGGTCACATGGCATAAATGTTTGTTGTGCACTGAACTATGTTTGGTGTGCGTTAGCCAGAAAACTATATAATTTATTGTAGATTTTTTAATGGATGTAAAAGAAAAATGTTGATGTAGTCAACAGAATATAATTCTTATTTGATATGCAAAGCGGTTCAGGTCTAAAAATGCATTTGCATTGCAGAAAAATAATATTTACAATTTCAAGAATATTAAAAGTAGAAAACTTTGTGGTTAGATTTCTCTCTCATGGTTTCGTATCCATCGTATGGAAGTAAGTGTTCTTTTTATTCTTCAGTTAGAATTACTATGTCTGTTGGTTTGTTAATATAAACCACATTCATGTGTAGATCTAGCAACAATTGCCAATTTTTATACAAATTTAGAAAAGATATTGTGAAATAAAAGCTCATGGAGTTTCATCAGCTATTTTTAAGAATTTATTTTCATTGCAGGATTTGATAGAAGATTTGAAGGGTGAATTAAGTGGAGGATTTTTAGATACATGTAAAGCATTGTTGATGCAGCCAGCTCAATATGATGCTTACTTGCTACGCAAAGCAATTAAGGTATTTAAAATCATATTGTATAATAATGTCTTTTATTTGTAAAATAATTTGTTTTTTTCTTCTTTTTAAATATATGAAATTAATAAAGAATGCTTTGGGCAATTATTACATACAAATCAGTGGAGTCAAATATATGTTTTTTTTGTTAAACTTTGAGTTCCAAGAGTTCCCAATGGTGAAGTTGAAATCATCACTTTGTAAATTTTACAGACGCCATCACGAGTTGGTTGACCGTTATGGAATATCCGTTTCACAGATGATATCGGATATGTTCCTTATGTCGTAGCTACAATCCCGTTCCCTTTACACGAATGTGACCTACCGAATTAGACTATTTACCCCTATTTATGACATTTTTACCTATTGTTTTTGTTTGTTTTGTTCACACATCGTTGTCAATATAATGGAATTTGATGCGAATGTCATACAAGTGAGAGGTTTAGCTAGCTTTAAAACCAGGTTCAATCCACCATTTTCTACATCAGAAAATGCCTGTACCAAGTCAGGAATATGACAGTTGTTATCCATTTGTTTGATGTGTTTGAACTTTTGATTTTGCCATTTGATTGGGGACTTTCCTTTTTGAATTTTCCTCGGAGTTCAGTATTTTTGTAATTTTACTTTTTGATGTCTAGAAAAAGTATCTACAGATAAGAAAAAAATATTTTCAGTTACTATGAAATAATTGAAGAAACTTTGTACAGTATTTCTTCTGCATGCTCTATTGGCTAATCATTGAATCTACTTGTGTGGTGAACAATTGTGAAGCAAAATTATGATGAGAATTCTTTTGTTTTACACATTTGTTTTTGCATCAAATACTTTCAGCCAATTTAAACAAATTTCTTTTCTCAACATTGTTTAAGGAGTTTTTTTTGTTTCATTAAATTTAAAAGCAAAAAATGACCATATTTTTAATTATGCTTTCAGGGTCTTGGAACTGATGAAGATGTGCTGATAGAAATTTTATGTACCAGATCAAATGCTCAAATAACAGAAATCAAAAGAGTGTACAAAGAAAGTAAGCTTATTTCTGAGACATTATTTGAAAATTACAAGAGTATCATAGAGGAGGATTTAGTACACTCAAAAATTATTTTAACCTTGTCATATGTTGATGTGCACATCCAAGTCAGAAGCCATGTCAGCTGTTGTCCATGTTTGTTTGGTGCTGATGGCATATGTTTGTTAGTCTGTTAAATTTATTCACATAGACCAACAGGAATTTAAGGCTTGACATATATCTTAAGCACTTTTCTGTCTTTGAATAACATATGTTCAAGATATCTATTTAGTTTTGTTGTGTTTTTAGATTGCTGTCATCTTGAGGCATACATATTCTTTCCTTTTTGTTCATATTCAGTAACTATTTTACTTTAATATTTTGGGACTTCTTTTATTGTTGAAATAATCATAAAAATTCCAAAAGTAGATCTTTGGAGTAATTCTAGATAATGCCTTTACAATACTATTTAAAGTTTGTTTTTTTTAATGGTCAAAATGTCTCATACAAAGTAGGCAACAAGATGTTCAGCAAATAACAATGTTAAAGGGAGATAATTTACATTTATCTAACAAAAATGAATAAGTAAAATCAGTCCTGCTAAACCATTTCTTCTCATTTATAAATAAGTACTTTCCTCATATAATATGTCCTGTCTTCCAGAATTTAATAAAGAATTAGAAAAAGACATTATAGGAGATACATCAGGACATTTGAAGCGTCTCTTAGTGGGACTGTGTCAGTCTAATCGTAGTGACAGTAATGAGGTAGACAGAAACAAAGCTCACCAAGACGCAAAGGCTATGTATGAAGCTGGGGAAAAGAAGTGGGGAACTGATGAATCTAGATTTAATGTCATTCTTGTGTCAAGGAGCTATCCACAACTCAGGGCAACTTTTGAAGAATATAAGAAAATTTCTAAAAAAGATATTGAAGATGCTTTGAAGAGCGAGATGTCAGGAGACTTATTAAGAGGATTCCTAACGATAGGTAAGATTTTTTTATGCACAAATTGTTCTTGGGTATCAAACATTTTGTGATTTTTTAATTATTGAAGGGTTTTCCATATCACTATGAGAGATCTAGCAAGTACAACACATAATTTTAAAATAGTGAATCTTTCTTTGTTCTTGAAAGAACACCAAACAGTTTGATTTGTACAAGTTTTCTATTTAGAATTAAGGTTTTATAAAGATGAACACTTTTTGTATTATCTGAAATTATATATAGAAAAAAGACTGATATTTGATATATGAAAGATGTACTTTGTTATGGTGTGTCACATCTGAATGAACCAGTTAAAAGAAGTCAATAACATTATAAAATACTTCCATTGGCCAATGAAAATTCAACTAACATTGCACAGTAAAACCTGGGTAAACTGGACCCTGAATAAACCGGTTTTCTGTTCATTCCGGCCTGAAATTGAAATCCCATTTTTTCCCCTTCAAAGGCTTTGTTAAAATAGCCCCTGTAAACTGGACACTGTGTATTTCCGAATTCCGTCTAATTATGCATTCCCAATACTCTTAATTACATTAATTATTACCTGTCACAACCGGTTTGTTTAATTAATTTAACATGATAACAGTATTGATTGATATGCAATGAAAACATAATTGTTTATACAAGAAATCAGGGATGGGGTAATCGTAATCTGTAATCGTAATCGATTGTAATTGATTACATTTTTTCCAGTAATCGACTGTAATCTGTAATCGAAGACATTTTCGATTACATGTAATCGTAATTTAATCGATTACAGCAAAAATCATGATGTAATCATCGATTACTTTCGATTACATTTCGATTACTTTAGTAAAATAGTTTGATGAAATATAACCTAGTATTTTAAATGAAAACATGTATGTATTCATCACTTTGAAGTACTGATATGACTTAAGAGTTTATCAACTGCCTTTATATTTCTATCTATTGTCTCAAGCTGCATTATGATCAACCAGATCCCCTACCATAATTTACTTTATATCTAGCTTTTGAAACAAATGGATTGATGTGCTTGTCAATAAGTCAACACCTTTTATATTAAAATAAGAAAATGGATTTAAAATAAGAAATGTGTCTTAAGTTAAGTTCTGTACTTCCTTAAAGTAGTAAGGTTATTTGTATTAAATTTCCTAAAAGCATAATTTTCAATAAGATTTAAGCTTAGAATAGATAAAACAGTTGATTTCTTATAATGTTAAGATATACATGTATATGAAAAATAAGTACACAAAATCCTTTTAACAATGAACCAATGCCTATGCATTGAAATTCTTTTCAGAAAAAGATACATGTATCCCTCGTTGACACTATAAATATATACTGTTTATAATTTTATTATAGAATAAAAAAATCTTAACAAACTTGTCTTTACTAATCAGATGATCAAAGTCTTCTAATCACTATATAAGACACATACTTTGTTTTTATTTCAATTACTGTTTGTCTAATTAAGATGGAGATTTACATTATTTTGCCCCAGGTTATAAATTGTACTCCATTCGCAGTTTTATAACCTATAATTAAGGTGGTTTTCAAACAAAAGGATTAAATCATGTTTGTCATTATAATTATAAATTTTGATCCTTAAAATTAGCTGAACTAATTAATAATTCTACTTTTTTATATTTTCTTCTGAGAAAACTTCCAACATTGTAAATAACTATGCTAAAATATACCTGCTTTTAATGAATAAAAACAAAAAAGCTAAGTTAAGTCAGTACGAAAGCAAAATTATTGAAAAAAACTTTAAACATATATATAAGTGATTGATGGAATGCAATGTCATCTCTAATTCATGTTGAAAGTCAAATTTCAAGATTTTTTTAATAATTCTGATCCTCAGTAAGAGATTCCATCTAGATAACAACTGTCAACTAATAATTTGGAAACAATGATTTAAATGTTGTTTTTTTGGTAAAGTTCTAAACATCTACTATACAAACGTTGATCAACATGATAGTGTTTAACTTACTTTATTTTTTTTTAAATTTTGAAGCATGTAATTGACAGTAATCGAAAAGTAATGTAATTACTTTTGATAAAGTAATCGATTGCAATCGATTACATACAAAAATCTGAGTAATCGATTATTAATCGATTGCACAAAATACCTTCATGTAATCGATTATTAATCGATTACATTTGTCAGTAATCGTGCCCATCCCTGCAAGAAATCAATTAGCAAGGTGTTCAACAGTGAACTTACAGTAGTGAGCTTTATTATTGAGGCACTGTTAAGTTTTAATTGAAATAAACTAAAAGAAACGCCGAATATATCTCAAGATAGAACTTATGTTGTAACTTTGATAAATTTTTCAAATTGCTGAGTAAGAAATTTACATCATGTTTTTAAAATGCTGGTTTCCCTCTTGTGAACCCCAAAACCAATAAACGTGATAATGAAGAAGACCAGGATGACGACATTCCATTGTTGAGTGTATGGTTATCATACATTGTACGACACTGTTTCAATCATGATGAAATTTCGTTTGATAAAATTCTTGTTTTTGAATCGGCTATACCAACGTGGGAAATGAATGATGGAAGTAAAATGAAACTCTCATTGAACAGTTCAAACAATGCAAGGATTCTGGTGCAAATGAAAACAATGAACTCAAAGTGAAACTGAATCTGACGAGTCAGAGACTTATGCTACCAAGGTCGATTTGACATATGAGGATATGTAAAACATTATTATTTTGAATTCGGGGGACAACCAATTTCTGAAATTTCTAAAGCCAATGAATATGAAGACTCAAAACGGTAATAGTGAAAAGGTAGGGAACACTTGTAATGTTCCTGTCACAATATTTCCACACAAATCATGACATAACTTTTAATAAATAGATTATTATGGTGCTTGTATAAATTTATTAGTTTACATTTAACAATAAAACAGAACTTTTACATGCACAATATCTGACGTCACAAGTCAATAACTTCCTGTCAAAATGGAAACCTGAATAAACCAACCCACTGTCCAAACTGGCCCTTTTTCCTAGTCCATAATAGCCGACTGGTTTATACAGGTTTTACTGTATATTATTTTTACAGTACGATGTGTAAAGAACAAAGCTGGACATTTTGCTAGACAGTTGCAGAAGACCATGAAAGGATTGGGAACTGATGATGATACACTTGTCAGAATTGTTGTATCTAGATGTGAAATTGACATGGTACAGATAAAAGAAGAATTCCAGAAACTTACTGGACAAAGTTTGGAACAGTTTGTAGCTGTAAGTTTTTTTGCATAAACCATACATGTGTAATTTTCTTAATACAAGTGATCAATCTCAGACTTATCAAAATATATAAGTTAAAATCCCCTGAATTGGGCATTTATTACATAGCAACATTGACTTCAAGACCTATAAATCATATAAACAGCTAGAAATGTGTCAAAAATACTTGGTTTTCTAATCATTGGTGTTCTAGAATCAAATTTCTACTGTAGTTAATATATTTTCATATCCTACAAACTAGAGAGAAAAATGTAAGAACACTGGATTGAAGTAAGAAAATAACATCAATTTCTGACAGCTAAAGAAAAAGATACTGATCCATGCAATTTTCTTAAACCTTTTGATCATACAATTACATTTATACTTCAGTACTTAATTTCTATATGTAAATTGTTCTGATAACATTTTTTAGATTTAATGAAATTGTATTGTTGTCAAATTGGTACTTTGTTTTAAAATATTGATTAACAAACCTGCTTACAAAGGTATCCACTTCAGGAGTCTCTACCAATAGTAAACACAACAGCGTTGAATCACTTAATGGAGTTTTATTTACATGTATTTGAAATGTTACATAGGAGCTGAATTTTGTAAATGAAAAGTCCTACCAACCATTTTTTATATGCTATCACATGTCTATATCTACCAAATTGATTTCAGCTTGTCTTCTGTGTACATTTTTATGACATGTTTTTGGGGAATTTGTATGAATAATTTTTATGATAAAAACAAAAATAATCAGGGTTGGGTCAACTGTTGGGATCACGTTTAAGTCTTTGTTAGACTAACATCAATATTTTTTTAAAGTCCTGAATAAATCTCTTTTTGACATGATTTGGGGAATTATGCTTTTTATGTTGCAGGATGATTTAAGCGGAGACTACAGAAATATAATATTGTCTATAGTAACAGGAGGTCCACCACCAGAATCTGCTGCTAAATGTAAGTACAATGTACCAGTGCATTCTATTTGCAAGGCATTTTTCATCTTTGTGATTTTTTGATGGGCTTGTAAGATTGCTATTATCATTTTATAGTTCTAACATTTTCTATATGATATTATGTAGTTATATTTTTGTTCTTTGACTGTTATTGCAAAAATGTTTCAGTTTCAGGATATTTAGAAAATATTTGGAAAGAACAGATTTTAATTTATTTTTGTGCTTTTTATACACAATATATCAGACAAATCCTTGTGTGAAAAGGAGTATTACATTTGTATTATCTGTGAAGTTTAGAACACCAATATTAAATACATATTACATAAACTTTTGTTAATTTTAGGAAATTCGGAAAATACCCAAAATAATATGATCTACATAACTCAACATGATCTGAATAATGTATTATGAACAGATATGTCTTTATTCAGCAATGACATCCAAATATATTGGTTTGAATCAAGATCTCTTTTGAAATATAAACAATTTATTGATTTTATGAAAATTTTATCAAATTGTTTCTTTTATTAATTTTCTAGCTGGCAAAGCATTTGTAGAAGCTGTTAAAAATAAAACAGAAGAAGAACTTGATGAAGAAGTCAAAATGGAATCCGAAAATATACAGGTTGATTGGGTTTACCTCCTTTGAAAGCATTATTTATCTTGTTTGGTTTGAAATATTACAATCAACATAGATTATCTATCTAAAAACTGAAAAATGATAACATTCTGACAATTTAATGTTACTTTGGTCAAAATATAGTACATTTCAGAAAATATGTGTAATAGAAAATGTATTATTACATTGGTAGCATTGAATTACATTGAATTCCCAGTCAAGTAAAAACCGATAATTTCACATGTGAAATAAACGTGGTTATTTCACTCTCTGACGTCATACAACAATAGGCGTTGTCAAGACGTCGATAACGTCGGATCAAAACAAATTGTGAATGCGTAGAAAAAAGATATAGTTCCTTACATTTTCTACATTAATTTCATTAAAAAAAGCCATTTGCCAATGTAATAAAAAGAATAACTAATCAAAGAATTCAAATATCGAAAAATATTCAACTCGTGACCGAACAACACTGATAATTAACTCATGCGCTATGCGCATTCGTGAATTAATGTGTTGTTCGGTCACTCGTTGAATATTTTTCTCTATTTGAATTCTTCGATTAGTTATTCTATAATTAATTCTTGGCACAAAATACTACACAACCTTGATAAAACCTTAAATCATCATCTCAAAATCATAAAGAAGATAAGTAAAACAGAAGTCTTTGCTTACTTTTATTAATTTATGACTGCATCTAGATATTCATGTATGTCCTTTGCTAGAAAATGTGAGTTGTGTCAATTTAGGAAATTCCTGAGTTGACTTATCTTATTTATCACAAAATAATTGCTATAAATTTATTTTCATTCAGTGCTTATGATGTTTTTTTTCTGTTAATATCAGTTGTTTTCTAATTGTTAAAAAGGGTCAAAAATTAAAAAAATAGATAAAAAGGCTTTTAAAAAAGAAATGGATAAATATGTTGTCCTTGGTTGCTGCCAATCATTATTGTTTTTGGCATAAATCAGGCTGTTAGTTTTTCTTTTTTTAATTGTTTCACATTTGGGGCCGTATGGCGCATACAAAATTATAAGCCTGGTGTCTTTGATGAGTTTTTTGGCATACAAAGCTTACAGTCAACCTGCTATAAAGGTCACATTTAATAAGCAAAAACCTGTCTTCTTCTGTGACCTTTTTCTTTTTTTGCTGTTGTAATACCCATGCATTTTAAACCTCAATTCAAAGGTGACTTCTCCTATTCTTATATCAAATGAATATTGTATGTGCTGTTTTAGATCAGGCAGAAACCTTTATGTCAAGGCTTTAAGCAGATGAAAAGATCATAGTTCTCAGGAGCAGTTTTTATGCTGTTTCCTTTATTTAGAATATATGCAATTTGTTTACATGAAATAAATAATACAACTGAGTAAAAAACAGTCATTATGAATAAAGGGAATTTGGAGTATACAAAGAATGAGACAAGAACTAAATAAAAACAAAATTACATTTATAGGTTGATATACAATTTGAATTTAGATTTATTTCACCCATGAATCCTTTTTTTGTTTTTGAATAGGAAGACCCTACTGTAAAAGCAGCTGAAAACTTTAATGCAGAAAATGATGTAGAAGTTTTAAGGAAAGCTATGAAAGGATTTGGTAAGATTAGGATAATTTAACTTTTTTGTATTGTAATAATTTAACTAATATCTTGTCATAAATTTTTTTAATATAACCAAAGTGGTTTTATATTGAACTTATACAATTTTTTTCTCAACAAATACAATATTTTATTCAAAAAGACATCCAAAATGATTGATTTACTTTGCTGTTTTTCAGGTACTGATGAAAAAGCTATTATAAATGTCTTGGGTTTTAGAGACAATGCTCAGAGATTAGAAATTGCCAAATCTTTTAAAACTATGGTTGGAAAGGTAAGGAAAATTCTGAATTGTAAATAGTTCTACTTTCTAGTCAATAAATGCCATCAGTGATTTCAAGATATGAGTTTTTGTTCTCAGCATATGAATATTCATGTTAACAAATGACCTCAACACAAATGTAAATTAGGGAACTTTACCATTGCAATATGTTGATTCAAAATTTTAAAGGGTTGCACTTGATTTGAGTTCAAAATACAATATCTAATGTTAAAATTCAGTGGCTCATTTGATAAGATAAACAATTACATTTCAAGGCAGTTAGAACATAACTTCCATAGATTTCTTTTTGGCCAAACAGAAAACGTTTGATGCCTTACTTATTTTGCACACACCAATACAGCCATTTTTTCAAATATTATAAAGTTGGCTGGTGCAAAATTAAGGTACCGTAGAAAGGCTTGTATAGTTCGCAGTGGTACATAGTCCGCACCCCCTTCTCCCCACGAAATTTTAGGAAAAAAAACTTTTTGTAACTGTTTGAAAAGGTCTAATGAAACTCCGGTAATTTCAAATCCTGTGCGGTCGTTTGCGGTATTTTCTTGGAAAAACCTGTTTTCCATCATCAAACAGAAGCTGAAACTGCTTGTTAATGATTCTAGAACGCTTCATGATTGTTAAAATAAGTTTAATTCACTTAAAAAACAATTTAGAAACTTGTGTATGTTTAAACAGGAAGTTTAAAAAGCACGTGTAAAAGAAGAAATTAACCGGTGAGAGTCGAAATCCGTACATAACAGATATCACTATAATACGACTTTGAAAGCAAAACAGTCCCATCCTTTTGTAAAACAGTCTTTAATATATCTATCACATTAATGTTTGAAGGGTCTTAAGCTAATACAAACCATATTAGTCAGTATGAAACACCAAAACGGAACGAACAATAACCGATTTCGTTTTGTAGTTTACAAATTCTAAGCTGGTTTACGGTTGTCTTTTTCACTATGTTTGTATCGTTTCAATCGAGCAGATACCAGTTTATTTCAACCAATGCATTGAAAAGAAACGAGAAATTTGTAATGAAAGGTTTAGTTTTTATATTTATCAGTATTAATTTGATATTGAATAGAAATAACTTATTAATATGGATGAGTTAAAATTATTAGTTTGAAAAATGATAAGAGCGCCCTCTACAATAGAAATAACAAAGATGGCGGAACGTAAACAAACCACCTCGACCGCGAAATTGAAATTTTTCTCTTATTTCTTGCTTATTGTACTCTATAGTCCGCACCCCGTCTGGAAGGTCCAATTTTGGAGAATAAAACCGCGGACTATACAAGCCTTTCTACGGTACTCAAATTTTGAAATTAGTGTATTCAATCATCACAGATTACAACATAACTAAATGTAACTTAACATTTATGAAGAGTAATGTTGAAAATAATGAAATGCCATGAATCATTTCTTTTATCAGGATTTGATAGATGAGTTGAAGGGAGAATTAAGTGGAGGATTGAAGAAATTATGTGTAGGTCTGTGTATGAGTTCTCCAGATTTTGATGCCATGAATCTCAACAAAGCCATCAAGGTTAGCATACAACTACAATAGATGTAATAATCTGAACATACATCCACTAACACAAAAAAATTGGAACATTCAAGACTTTAGTGGGGTTCCTTTACATCAGTTTGGTAGCATTTCTGACCAGTTGAATAGTTTGAAGTCAGAATTTTTAATGTTCAGTAGTTGTTGTTTGTTGATGTGGTTCATAAGTGTTTCTTGTTTCTAGTTTTTTATATAGAATTAGACAGTTGGTTTTCTCGTTTGAATGGTTTTACACTAGTAATTTTTGGGGCCCTTTATAGCTTACTGTTCGGTGTGAGCCAAGGCTCCGTGTTGGAGACTGTACTGTGACCTATAATGGTTTACTTTTACAAATTGTGACTTGGATAGAGAGTTGTCACATTGGCACTCATACCACATCTTCTTATATCTTTATTATGTAATAGGTGGAGAGAAAAGCAAACAATCAAGTAAATGTAACAGCCCTAGAGTAAAGTATACCATTTTTGCAAACTGCTCAGTATATAGATCTACATCTTCATGTTAGCATACTGTGGATTCAGTATTATTCGTTGGATACAAATTTTCGTGGGTTTCGTGGGTACAGATGAACCACGAATTCAAATGTTCAACAAATTAAAAATTTTATATAGGCTTTGTATACAGAGATTGCTAAACCATGAAATCATATATCCACGAAAACATAAGTTTTCCTCAATCCACAAAATTGATACCCACGAAAACGTAAGTTTTCCTCAATCCACGAAAATTGATACCCACGAAAACGTAAGTTTTCCTCAATCCACGAAAATTGATATCCACGAAAATAAATGAATCCACAGTATGTTATAAACATTATCATTGTTGAAGATTTTGTATTTGATATTGATTGATCCCTTTAACTGAATTGATTTAAAAATACAATGTACTTGAAAAATTTTATCATTTGTGGGGAAAGAATTTTCATATAAACAGTAAACATTATTAAAAAAGTTGTGAATGAATTAAAACGGAACTATGTCAAGATCAGCCATCAACACCAAATTCCTGCAACATGAATAAAAAAAACTTAGCAAAAACCAACAATTAACAAAAACTAGCATCAATGAACCTGCTCAGAGGGAGGTTGTTGATATTTTCTAGTGTACAATTGTATTAGATTGAACATATGAAAACCAGGAAATGTCCAAACATGATCCAATTCATATTTTTTATTGATTAAGATGCATTTGTGAGGCCTTAAAAATAAATTTAGAACTTATCGGGAAAAATGCAACAGTATCAGGTTTGCAATAATAGAACTCTCATTCTTAATTTCAGAATTGATATTCTTTCATAAAATTTTAGCAATTGCTTTAATTAGATTTCGCATTTTTTCAGCGGTCAATGATTCACAATAAAGCATAACATTTATTCATGATTTACAATATCACACCATATCAACCCTCAGTAGTGTCTCTGGTTGATACAGGTGTGATATTAAAAAAGCCATATCATGTACACTTTATTTTATACCTCAAGTAGATGTTTTTCACATGACAGAAAACCATATGATATTCTCTATTTATTTCAAAAGGAAATCATGGTACTTCATTGAAACAAATATAATAGATATTTTATTGTATGCTTGTGTTATAAATATTTTGACTTGTATTTAGGGTTTAGGCACAGATGAACAAGTTCTAGTAGAAGTTATATGTACTAGGAGTAATGAACAGATAAAAGCATTTAAAGAGGCATATAAAAGATGTAAGTAGAGGAAATGGTTTCAGTTTTGAACTGTAAAGGAAAATTTTATCATTAAAACTTTTGTTCTATTTAGTTATATTAAGACATATAAATTTGAAGTTTTCAAGGTCATTTATATATATAATTATCTAAGTTAGTAAGGGTTAAATAGAAGCCAGTTTATATATATGGGGTGAAAGTGAATGAAATAACACCAAATTATAAGCAAAGGAATTCAAGAGAACAACATGAACAACATATTGTAACTTTCTATATCTTGAAGGTCACTTTTTATGCCCCACCTTGGGGCATTATGTTTTTCAGTCTGTGCGTCCGTCCGTCTCCCTCTTCAGGTTAAAGTTTTTGGCCAAGGTATTTTTTTATGAAGTTTGAAGTCCAATCAACTTGAAACTTAGTACACATGTTCCCTATGATATGATCTTTCTAAGTTTAATGCCAAATTAGAATTTTGACCCCAATTTCACGGTCCACTGAACATAGAAAATGATACTGCGAGTGGGGCATCCGTGTACTATGGACACATTCTTGTTTATTTATATTTCACCAGAGATATAGATAAGAACCTGAGATGTGCAACTCATCTGTGTAATCTCTTCTTTGATGCCCATGATGCTTATCTCAATGGTAGTCTATAGAAACAACACGAAAACAATCTTGAAAAAGAACAACTTGTTTGTTTATATTGAAGCTTTCAACAAACCAAAAGAATACCTGATTAATAGAAACTCAGGATTTAATACACTACACAAGAATTTAGATATTTGAAGATTTTATATTAGCTGTAATTAAGAAAAGTTGCTTCTTGGGTTCTCATTGATATCTCTTACTTAACTGCAATGATATGCTCCTTAACTGTTCAATAAATTTGTATCCATATTGATAATATTAAAATAAATGTAGATGATAAACTATGTTTAAAGTTTTTCTTCTGCAGTATATAACAAAGAATTAGAAGCTGACGTAGCTGGCGATACCTCGGGTAATTTCAAACGACTGCTAGTTGGTTTATTACAAGCGAACAGAGATGAAAGTAAAGAATTTGATAGAAACAAAGCTAAACAAGATGCTCAAGCCCTTGTAGAGGCTGGAGAAAAGAAATGGGGCACAGATGAGTCGAGATTTAATGTTATTTTGGTATCTAGGAGCTATGCCCAGTTACGTGCAACATTCCAGGAGTATGCAAAGGCAGCTAATAAAGATATAGAAGATACTCTGAAGAGTGAAATGTCTGGTGACTTACTCAAAGGCTTCTTAGCTGTTGGTATGTTCTTTTTTTTTTATTGTTTTCATTTAGAGTAAATAATTAGATATAAAAAGAATCACAAACTTCAAAAAATGAAAGTTTGTTTTAATTAATTTTTTAATTTAAAATTGTACTCTCCTCTTTTTCAGCTAACATTTTCATGATATCAAACTCAAAATTATTTGAAATATGTGATACATGTGTGAACAAAAAGAAAGTTCACTTTGAATTGTCTTCATTTACACTTAGACCTAAACTTCTTTTTAAACAAGTTTATCTGATTTTTGTATTCAATCAGATATTATTTATTAAAATGCTAGAATAAATGCAGGAATAAATATTAAACCAAAGAAGTTGTAATTTGTCAAACCCATTCAAGGCTAGTTATACCACATGAAATGTCAGGAGGCATGAACCTCTATTAGGGTCAAATTGCATTTTTGTAGTGCAATAATGTTCTTGTTACCATGTAAAATTTGTTAATCTGATTTTGTGTACTATATTGTATAAATTAACTATTTTTTTGTTTTATGCAGTAAGATGCATTAGAAGCAAGAGTTCTCATTTCTGTGATGAGCTGTACAAATCTATGAAGGGATTGGGAACTGATGATGATACGCTATGTAGAGTACTAGTGTCTAGATGTGAAGTAGACATGGTTCAAATCAAAGAAGAATTCCAGAAAAAATACAAACAAACACTGGCTATGTATATCAGTGTAAGTATATGAATAAAAAGATCGAAACAACCTTTTAGCTGTATGCAATAAGATCTTAAACCTATTTACAAGACAATTATGTTATGATACAATATCAATATGAAACTGCTTTGTACTAGACATACCTGCAGAAATGAGATTTAATTTACTAATTTACAAAGTAATAGTCCAGAGGAAGATATGCCATTCAATCAGGACAGATCATAAAAAAACAACTAGTTTTTGCTCTTACTTCTAATGCATAGGCATTTAAACAACTCTGAAGTCTTTGATTTGACATTACTTGGAATTGAACTAGATAAGCAAGTATTCTGTTACAACACCACCAAAATAGATACAGGATAAAAGCTTATGAGATATTATGCAGATATATATATTCAGGGTAGTCAGAATTGATTGGGTTCTTACTAAGACCAGACATGTGACAGAGTTGTCAAGCCACAACTGGAGATTTGGAAATTTTCAGCTTGAGTTTGGGCCTCAAAACTAGGTGATTTTTTATCAACCTTTTTATCAACGTACGCAATTGGGGTTTTTTTGTGTTGAAACTGCATATCTTCCTTTTTTGTTAAAAGAACAATGATTCCTTACCTTTAAAAACCTGTATAGCCATTTTTACTTGATAAAAATAGAAGATAGGGGTTTTCAAATATTTAGTTCAAGATAATGACAGTCTGTTGAATTGTTGATCTGTACACTTAGAAGACTGTGGATGGTCTTATGGTCTTATCAGCTAGGTTGTCTCTGGAGTCGGACTGGATCTTCTTTAGCATTGAGAATGTTCTTTCTGTGTCAGCATTACAAACATTCTTATATAGGTATTCCATTGGCTTGGATATAAAACAAGCCATAAATATCAAATTATTTCTTTGAGGTTCAGTTCCATGTTTTCAACAGCATCAAAGATTACAGAGTTGTTGTTTATACAACTTTAATAATCCATTGTCAGTATTTCACTTTTAATCATCCAGGTGTGTGTCTTAAACTAGCTAGTTGATCACAAGGCAATTACCAATCATCTTTTATTGTTTTATATACAGTCTAATCCTAAACACCTTCATTGATTACTCAACCTCACAGGAAATGGCGACTTCCGTTTTTCTCGGAGTTTTACCATATCAATTTCGAGTTTCTCTGACTTTTTCTCTGTCCGTATCGATTTTGTAAATGTCTACTGAAATTTTTTTCGAGGTTGAGATTTTCAAAAAGCGGAAGATTTCAAATTTTAACGGGAGGGACGGAAGGGGTCTGAAAAGCGAAAGATTTTGACTCCCGCTGGAAGAATCACATGTATGTAAGACTAAATAAGGAAATAAAAAAAAATAGCAAATCCATTTGGTTTTTGAACAAGATGAATTTTAGTATGTTGATTTGTTAAAGTAGAGAAATAAAGTATATGAATGTACTTATCCAAGAAGTTTTGCTATTTCAAACACCAATGGACAAAAACACTTTTTAAAGAGGCATTCAAATTCGAACTGATCAACTGGTGAAATATTTTAGACCATTGTTAGAGAAGGTTATTGTAATAGAAAAAGGCAGATACAATGCAATGAAAATATTATTAGCTCACCTTTCCTTGAAAAGGAAACGTGAGCTTTTGCCATCACTTGGAGTCCGTTGTCCGTCCGGTGTAAACTATTTCAAAGATCTTCTCCTCTGAAACTACTGAACCAATTCCACCCAAACTTAAGCTGAATGATTCTTAGGGTATCTAGAATAAAGTTTGTGTTTAATTTTCTGTTTCGTACAAAAACATGGCCACCATGGATAAAAATAGAACATAAGGGTAAAATGCAGTTTTTGGCTTATATCTCAAAAACTAAAGCATTTAGAGCAAATCTGACATGGGGTATAAATGTTCAATAGGTCAAGTTCTATCAGCCCTGAAATTTTCAGATGAATCTCACAGTCCATTGTTGGGTTGCTGCCACTAAAATGGTAATTTTAAGGAAATTTAGCAGTTTTTGGTTATTATCTTGAATATTATTATAGATAAAGATAAACTGTAAACAGCAAAAATGTCAACTTTAAAAAATCTTCTCCTCTGAAACTACTGAACCAAATTAAACCAAACTTAAGCTGAATGATTCTTAAGTTATCTAAAATAAAGTTGGTGTTTTATTTTATGTTTTCTCAGAAAAAATGGATGCCATGGCTAAAAATAGAACATAGGGTAAAATGCAGTTTTTTGACTTTTATCTCAAAAACTGAAGCATTTAGAGCAAATCAGTTAAAATATTCATTAAGTCAAGGTCTACCTGCCCTGAATTTATCAGCCAAATCGGGTATCTGATTTTTAGGCTATTGCACCTGAATTGATGATTTTAAGGAAATTTTGCAGTTTTTGGTTATTATCTTGAATATTATTATAGATAAAGATAAACTGTAAACAGCACAAATGTTCAGCAAAGTAAGATCTACAAATACAGTTAAGACCAAAATTGTCAATTGACCCCTTAAGGAGTCATTGCCCTTTAAAGACAATTTTTCACAATTTGTTCATCTAGTTTGCTTACTTCAAAAAATCTTATCTTTTCTAACTACTGAATCAATTTCAGCCAAACTTGGGCTGAATGAGTTTCAGAGTATCTAGTATAAATTTTGTATTTTATTTCCTTGTACATCAAGAAACATAGCCACTATTGCTAAAATGGAACATAGGGGTAAAATGCATTTTTTGGCTTTTGAAGAAAATATGACAGATACAAAGAACATTTAAATTGCATTTTTAAGCCACTCATTAATATATATTGAAAAGCAAAAATAATCATTGATGAAAGATTTAAGCAAAAAATTAAAGGTGAGCGATTCAGGCTCTTGAGAGCCTCTTGTTACTGTTTAATTCCAATGATAATTTTTTTGTTTCACAAAATGTTGAATTGATATAAATAGGATTTTTAATGATGTTAGAATTTAGATTTTACAGCAAGATTTCTTTTTATTAAATAAGAATTCCATATCATATTTACATTCTGGCATCTCTTTTTTAACCCTAACATATAAAAAAATTAAAATAAAATTGATTTGTCCTTGAGAAAAATCCAAAGTAAATGAAATTTGAAGAACAAAAATTTGTATTTTAGGATGATGTCAGTGGTGACTACAAAGATTTATGTTTAGCTTTGTTAGGAGAACAGCAAGCAGCACCTGCAGAGAAGAAGAAAAAAGGTAATTTATAGCATTAGTTGTTCACTAAAAAATTGGAGAAACATCATGAATTTTGATACATTGGACTAGGTCTTTTCCTTAAGCATCAAATATATGCTTTTTGATAAGGAACCTGGTCATAAATATATACTCCCATCTTTTTTCTCCATATTTATTGACATTTAACAAAAAATTACATGCATTCAAATTATTGAAAACAAAGACAACTCTACATGGAATTTAAACAACATCAATGATTTAAACTAGGTAATTGTAATTGCTAACAGCGACCATTATTTAATGTAGAGACATGTATTTCAAAGATTCAACTTTTCGTATTCTTTACCTGTTTCAATGATTCATTAAATAGTTACAAAAAGGAATACTGTTACAATACTGAAAGTACATGATTATATTTGTTTTTCCAGGATTTTTCTCATAAAGAATGGTGAAGCAATGATGTGGAACAGTTACCCAGAATTATAATAAAGAGACTCATTGAATTATAGATATATTGGATCTTAGAATAGGATATACCGGTAGACTGTTATAGGGACCAAGCTTTAAATGTTAGATATAGATAAAAGGGATATTATAAAGCTATTGCATTTTACAACATTATATGATATAGAATATGTATATGTACTGCAGTTAAATTCTGCTATGTATTATAAATACTTGTATTGAAGAAACAAATAGAAAGTTAACTATTTGATGGAAAGATGATACAATGGCTTATGATGGTCGTTCCAAAAATTACTTTTAAAGACTTAGTTTTCTTATACACTTAGATCACAAAAAACAAAACTAAATCTTATCATGTTTTCAGTATAATCTCCATCCAGAATATTTCTTCAATTCATAAAATATTAATTGATAAAATTATGCTAATTTTTAAATTGATAAGAACACCAGGTACAGAGGATCAGGGATCTGTACGAATTTTAATTGAAGACATATTACTCTATATTTTCATTTCTTTCACTTTGGGAAAGTATAAGAGTCAGCCAATATTATATTAGCGTGTATCTGTTTTTCAGTATGTTAACAATATTCTGATAAAGCTGATGAAATGAGACTCCAATACCTAATTTTTACTTTAAAAACTGAAATTTTACTTTGTAATGTAAGAAATATTGAGGGTAATTTGAATTATGTAATGTTCTTCAAGATAATAATTGTTTTGTAATCATTTTACAACTGTAGCCATGACCTGCCAAATGTCTTCTGATACTGTTGTAGTTCATTATTTTATATTTGTTTTGTTTTCTTGGTGCCTATTACATATGTTTGTATGTAGCTCTATTTGTTTATATTGCTAACCCTGTTCATGAACTTAGCATTTTAATTGTAATCTTTTCATTCCATCACATTACCTTAAAAGGTATTTTTATATTTAATGTTTCTGAAATAGAGGGTTTTGTGTTGATATATATACTTATTTCAAGACTCGAGATAAATAAATATTAACAGACACTTTCTAATAATACAACATTCCGTCAGTTTTATTTTTCTGAAATAGAATAATTAAAAGCTTATTTGCAATTGTGAATAATTAAGTGTCTACATTCTAATAGGTAATTTATTTCTGTGACATTCCATCTTGTTTTGTCTATTCTCAATGACAATGTCTTATTTATATAAAAAAGTAATGAAATAATACATTTTGCATTTATATGTTAGACAAACTATATAGAAAGAATTTATATAATTTAGGATGTTTGATTTTTTGGTTGTAGATTACCTTTTAAATTCAATGACTATATGTTTATAATTTAAAATCCATTTTTATGTGCCTGTCAAGGACAAATGTACCATAAAATATTATTTCCCATTTTTTGGAAGACACACATGAAATCAAGCTCATTGATTGAAAAAAAAAAAAATTTTTTGCCAAATTTTATACCGTCATTCACAACCAATTTGAAAATTCAACAAATTTGTTATAAAACATTCTGTTAGTTTTTATCAGAAACTTTGGAACTTTTTCAGAATGTTGATGGCTGAGCTTTTTTTTTAATTCATTTTGTCATTCCAATAATTTTTTTGTAAAGGTTTATTTGTTACTATCTGTGATAATTGTTTACTATATTTTGTAAATGCATGTCTTATTGTTAGTCTTAAATAATATATTAAATAAAAAGAAATAAATGAAATGAAATATTGACTTGACTGACCAGGCCATTTAAGGATCAGTTTCATTGCTCCTGCATTCATGTCTAATATTTCTATGTCATAGAACTAAAGGCATATGTTAGGTATTGCCATGGTATCATCTACTTATTTCGTATTATTTCTTCATTTTTAGTTAAAGTCGTTAGCCCAAGTACCGGCATAATTACTGCTGCTGCATTTTAATTTTATTTCCTGATTTTATGCCAGCCAACCTTGCATCTGTGTGGATAACATTTGATGTATGATTATGTAATGCATAATTACAGATCACATATGACATTTTTATGACCCCGCCGTGGCCGTGGGAGCATTAATTTTTACCCTTGTCCGTCTGTACGTACGTCTGTACGTACGTCCGTACGTCCGTCCGTCCGTCCCAAAATTGGTTTCCGTTCTCTAACTTGAGTTTGCCTCTACCAAATGTTATGAAACTTATACACAATGCTTATTACCACAAAACACAGATCAAGTTTGAATTTTGATGGCGTCACTCTAACCGTTCTAGAGTTATGCCCCTTTATAAATTGAAAAATTGCAAAATTTTTAGTTTCCGTTCTCCAACTTAAGTTTGCCTCAACCAAATGTTATGAAACTTATACACAATGCTTATTACCACAAAACACAGATCAAGTTTGAATTTTGGTTGTGTCACTTTAACCGTTTTAGAGTTATGCTCCTTTATAAATTGAAAAATTGCAAAATTTTTAGTTTCCGTTCTCTAACTTAAGTTTGCCTCAATCAAATGTCATGAAACTTATACACAATGCTTATTACCACAAAACACAGATCAAGTTTGAATTTTGGTGGTGTCACATTAACCGTTCTTGAGTTATGCCCCTTTATAAATGGAACTAGAGGCTCTAGAGAGCCTGTGTCGCTCACCTTGGTGTATGTGCATATCAAACAAAGGACACTCTCCAACATTGTAGACGAGAATAGACTTCATGACAAAAATCTCTATTTTATTGATCTTGTATTACTGATCTTTTATTCTGTTTAGTTTCTCGCTATTGTCTTTAGTTTTTGCTCAAAACACAATAGAGGGTAAAAAAAAATCTCATTTAAGGGCAATCACTCCTATGAAGAGTGACAGTCTACTAACTATATCGGCAAAATTTACCTTTTCATAGATCTTGTCTTGCTGATAATTTTTATGATTTAAAGTGTTTATTTATCTATTATAATTTAAATCATATAAGGCATAACAGAAAAATGTTTCTCTCTAAATATCATAGTTTTCATGATAATAGGCAAAAATGAAAAAAATGGTAAAATTTGTCATTTATGGGCAAAAACTATAAGAATTTGTCTAACAATTTTGACATAGATATAAGAAGATGTGGTATGAGTGCCAATGAGACAACTCTCCATCCAAGTCAAAATTTATAAAAGTAAACCAATATAGGTCACAGTACGGTCTTCAACACGGAGCCTTGGCTCACACCGAACAGTAAGCTATAAAGGGCCCCAAAAACATACATGTATATGGACAATTGGTAGAGCTCATTATTCTGAACATTATTGCTACTTTCAGATTTTCTCTATTTATAACGGTTCAAAAAATAATAGACAAAACTTGCATTTTACCCCTATGTTCTGTTTTTAGCCATGTCGGCCATGTTGGTTGGTAGGCGGGGTCATCGGACACATTTTTAAAACTATATACCCTAATGATGATTGTGGCCAAGTTTGGTTAAATTTGTCTCAGTAGTTTCAGAGGAGAAGATTTTTGTAAAAGATTACAAAAATTTACCAAAAAATGTTAAAAATTGACTATAAAGGGCAATAACTCCTTAAGGGGTCAATTGATCATTTTGGTCATGTTGACTTATTTGTAGATTAACCTTTGCCGAACATTATTGCTGTTTACAGTTTATCTCTATCTATAATAATATTCAAGATAATAACCAAAAACAAAAATTTCCTTAAAATTACCAATTCAGGGGCAGCAACCCAACTACGGAATGTCTGATTTGTTTGAAAATTTCAGGGCTGATAGATCTTAACCTGATGAACATTTTTACCTCTTGTCAGATTTGCTCTAAATGCTTTAGTTTAAGAGAAATAAGCCAAAATCTGCATTTTACTCCTATGTTCTATTTTTAGCCATGTTGGCCATGTTGGTTGGCAGGCGGGGTCATCTGACACATTTTTTAAACTATATACCCTAATGATGATTGTGGACAAGTTTGGTTAAATTTGTTGTAGTAGTTTTAGAGGAGAAGATTTTTGTAAAAGATAACAAAAATTTACAAAAAAATGTTAAAAATTGACTATAAAGGGCAATAACTCCTTTAGGGGTCAACTGACCATTTTGGTCATTTTGACTTATTTGTAGATCTTACTTTGCTGTACATTATTGCTGTTTACAGTTTATCTCTATCTATAATAATATTCAAGATAATAACCAAAAACAACAAAATTTCCTTAAAATTGCCTATTCAGGGGCAGCAACCTAACAACGGGTTATCCGATTCACCTGAAAATTTCAGGGCAGATAGATCTTGACCTGAATAACAATTTTACCCCCATGTCAGATTTGCTGTAAATGCTTTGGTTTTAGAGTTATAAGCCAAAATCTACATTTTTATCCGATTCATCTGAAAATTTGAGGGCAGATAGATCTTGACCTGATTAACAATTTTACCCCATGTCAGATTTGCTGTAAATGCTTTGGTTTTAGAGTTATAAGCCAAAATCTACATTTTTACCCTATGTTCTATGTTTAGCCATGGTGGCCATCTTGGTTGGTTGGCGGGATGGCCGGACACATTTTTGTCGAGCCTTCGACTTTTGTCGAAAAAGCGAGACATAGCGATCCTACATTCCGTCGGCGTCGGCGTCGGCGTCGTCGTCGTCGTCGTCGTCGTCGGCGGCGTCCACAAATATTCACTCTGTGGTTAAAGTTTTTGAAATTTTAATAACTTTCTTAAACTAAACTGGATTTCTACCAAACTTGGACAGAAGCTTGTTTATGATCATAAGATTATATTCAAAAGTAAATTTTGTAAAAAAAAAATTCCATTTTTTCCGTATTTTACTTATAAGTGGACTTAGTTTTTCTGCCAGGAAACATTACATTCACTCTGTGGTTAAAGTTTTTGAAATTTTAATAAATTTCTTAAACTATCCTGGATTTGTACCAAACTTGGACAGAAGCTTGTTTATGATCATAAGATTATATTCAAAAGTAAATTTTGTAAAAAAAATATTCCATTTTTTCCGTATTTTACTTATAAGTGGACTTAGTTTTTCTGCCAGGAAACATTACATTCACTCTGTGGTTAAAGTTTTTGAAATTTTAATAACTTTCTTAAACTATCCTGGATTTGTACCAAACTTGGACAGAAGCTTGTTTATGATCATAAGATTATATTCAAAAGTAAATTTTGTAAAAAAAAAATTCCATTTTTTCCGTATTTTACTTATAAGTGGACTTAGTTTTTCTGCCAGGAAACATTACATTCACTCTGTGGTTAAAGTTTTTGAAATTTTAATAACTTTCTTAAACTATCCTGGATTTCTACCAAACTTGGAAAGAAGCTTGTTTATGATCATAAGATAGTATCCAAAGTAAATTTTGTAAAAAAAAAATTCCATTTTTTCCGTATTTTACTTATAAATGGACTTAGTTTTTCTGCCAGTTAACATTACATTCACTCTGTGGTTAAAGTTTTTAAAATTTTAACAACTTTCTAAAACTATCCTGGATTTGTACCACACTTGGACAGAAGCTTGTTTATGATCAAAAGCTAGTATCTAGAAGGAAATTTTGATAAAATTTTGTTCCATTTTTTCTGTATTTTACTTATAAATGGACTTAGTTTTTCTTCCAGTCAACATTACATACATTCTGCAGTTTAAGTTTTTAAAACATTTATTAGATTCATAAATTATCCTGGATTTTTACCAAACTTGGACAGAAGCTTCTTACAATCAAAAGATAGTATAGAGAAGAATATTTTTATTAATTTTTTTCCTCATTTTTGTTGAGCCTGCGATTAACACCAAAAGTAGGCGAGACACTGGGTTCCGCGGAACCCTTACGAATTTTTTAAACTAGATACCCTAATAATGATTGTGGCCGAGTTTGGTCAAATTTGGCCCAGTAGTTTCAGAGGAGAAGATTTTTGTAAAAGTTTACGGACGCAGGACGCCAAGTGATGAGAAAAGCTCACTTGGCCCTGTGGACCAGGTGAGCTAAAAATTGCAAATTTTTTATTTTCTTCTAAATATCAAGTAATTTTTAAGATTGGAGTTATCTTCCTTTGTCCATGATTATAGTTGAATCAACTACAATCAATGCTTTATACAATGCAATGTTTGATTTTGACTTCCACTGATGAAACACAGATCAAGTTGAATTTGGGTAGTGTCACTTTTACCATTATTGAGTTATGCCCCTTTATAAATCGAAAGATTGCAAAATATTTAGTTTCCTTTCTGTAACTTAAGTTTGCCCCAACCAAACATTATGAAACCTATACACAATATTCGTTACCACAAAACTAAGATCAAGTGCAAATTTTTTGTTTCCGTTTTTGTAACTTTAGTTTGCCTTAACCAAATGTTATGAAACTTATACACAATGCTTATTACTACATTATACAGATTAAGTACGGAATTTGGTGGCGACACGTTTACCATTCTCGAGTTATGTCAATTTATAAACATAAAAATTGATGAATTTTTAGTTACCGTTCTCTAACTTTAGTTTGTCTCAACCAAATGTTATAAAACTTATACACAACTGTTCTAGAGATATGCGTGTTTACAAATAGAAAAATTGCTGAATTTTTAGTTTCTGTTTTCTACTAAAGTTAGCCTCAACCAAATGTTATGAGACTTACACACAATGCTTATTACCACAAAACTCCGATCAAGTTCAAATTTGGGTAGCGTCACTTTTACCGTTCTTCAGTTATGTCTCTTTATAACTATATGATATGCAAGCGGGGGCATCATATATAAGTGTCCACATGTTTTTAGC